ATTATATTTGGAAAAATTAATACTAAAATGTCAGAGAAAAAATTAATTTCTGGTTTTAGAAAATCTGCAAAAGTCAGGGAATTTTTTTCATATCGAATCTGCTGGACACCCTGATAAAAAATATACATATCACCTTCCCGCGTTGCACTCTCCAAACGAGGGAGTTCGGCGAAGCACGTAAAAAATGTGTGTATATAATTAGAGAAATAAAAGCAAGAAATATATAAAAATTCGGTTTGCCAAAAGAGTTTGTTGCTTTTCAGGTTCGCGGAACGCAGTCAAGCTGGCTGCCTCCGGCGGTAACCCCGCCGCTGCCGTTGCTGCATCCGCGCATCCTCCCGTACTTTGGAGCTCCCGCAGGAAGCACGGTAAGTCCCTTTTATACTTCTTTGACACAGAAACTGCGATCGTCCGATCGACCGATGTCCAGCCGGCCGATGTCGGCTCCTTTCTCGACGCGTCAATGAACACGCGCGCTTATACGTATATCCGACAGTTGGGGCTGGCAGAAGAGTGAGCGTGTGTCCGTGCGAGTGTAAATAAAACGCGAGAATAAAATTGAATTGGAATTCCGAACAAAAGGCAGAGTCGTTAAGCGGCCTCCAGCGCGGCCGCCGTTTCACCTTCACCGCGAAGTCATATTGGATTATAATGTCAAAAGCGAGGAATCCCGCGTGAGCTTTTTTTCGCGTCATATGCGTCGAAAAATAAATTAGCTTCTTTTGTTACCCCACTCTCCAAAAAATCCGCATTCGATATTAGATTGATGAAACTCTCTGGCCTTCGTGGATGAACAGACGACCTTAAATTTTCGATCAAAATAGGATCGAGTTTTATAATAAAATAAATCATCGCGAATGACGTTTGTCTATTTCTTCTTGCTATAGAATCTCGCTGTATTTAAAAGGAGATAAAAACCTGCCAGTTGTACAGAGTGTCTGACATAAAGTGTCACACCAGCAAAATGTCGAGGGAGGCCGTCATTTTTTGCATATTCCCAATTTTTGTCATTACGTATTTTTATAACTAAACCTTAAATTAAAATTTTAGTAAAGTAAACTCTACTTGAAATTAATTGGAAAATGTGCATGGTTTTGTCAATATTTTATTTCCACAAGGCTTAGTTTGCGAAGAACTCTTTATTTTCAATCGCTTATAACTCGAAAATTATTGGTGCAGCCTCAATATTTGTGCTAAGGAAAAATAGTCTCCAAATAACAAGATGTACTTGTATATTTTCGACGTGACACCTTATGTCAGACACTCTGGATATGACGTTATACGGACACGCGCGTATGAACGTGAATCATGAAATTAGCCCGGAGGTCAATTTCAGTGCGACAAGCTAATTCGATACGGAGTCGCATGCTCGTTTGACCCAGACTCATTGACCCGGCACGTCTAATCCTGAATCTTCAGCTTTCTCTCTCTGTCTCTCTCTTTGTCTTTCTCCCCTTTTCTCCTTAATGAACGGCGTCCTAACAGTAGCGCTTTACGCGAGGTTCCTCGCTCTATTTACGCCTCTGACAAATCTCTGCTTTGTCTTAATAGTCTTTGTACCGCGTTAATTTTATTAGACGTCTCGAAATAGCCCCTGCTTCGAATTAAAAGAGCTTCTTTCGACCCATTCCACCTCATTATTTCTCATGGTTGGCAGCTGGCTGCGTCTTTACGCAGCGCGGAAACGAACTACGCGAACGGATACGTCAATTAGGATGCTGCTAATTTACGAAGGTTACGGCTTTCCGCTCTCGAATGTCGGAGCCTGACACGTCTCGGGCGGAACACACGATTGAGGAAAGAATGAAAGAATCTAGCGTGAAAAGATTGTTTTTCTGCAGTCAGGTGACAGATAGGGTACGACCAGCGTGACGGATTATCATAAGAATCAAGTTGCAGCGTGTCAATTCCGAAAGAAGCACGAACTCGGCGAGGATTAGTCAAAGTTATGATAATGTCAACAATATGTGCACGATATCGCGTTAAAGAGATCGACGTATATAATTTCCAAAACTTGGCGATGTAAAGTTCTCTTTTGTGCAAAGAAAAATGCATGTCGAAATTTCTATGAATACATTATTATATTGTAATAAGTATGAAAGAGAAGAATAAAAAAGAAGAGAAAAAAAGGTATATACAAAGAGGTATACATATAAAGATACTTGCGTCAAGATAATAATCGCGGAAGAATGTTACATATTTTCGCGGTAGAATCTATAGAGTCTAGAATTTGCTTTTCGTTTAATTCAGCCGTCATTCAGCTGAAATCATTCAGGAGAAACGGATTCGGACGATATAAAAGCGGCGGGAAAAATTGGGGACGCGATGACTGATTCCTCAGGGTGTCTTAGCGGCCAAGGAAATCTGGAAAACCGGTCACTGTCAGGGAATTTTATAAATCTGGAGTTGTCAGGTAAAAGTCAGGAAATTTTACTATTTATCTAGATTTTTCACATTATTCTACATTGGTTTTAATAATTTGAAATTTTTATTAAATAAATATAAACTTTTCCTTGATTCTCAGCACGCTAATTTTCTATGTTGTTAAAAATCGATTCATCTACAGCGTGTTCGTTAATTCATATCTTCATCATCGTGTTATTTTACAAAAATATCTCAAAGATTTCATGATTTAACAATTAGTTGATTTATCATATAGATATATGCAAATGATATATATTTGAAAAAAATAATACTAAAAAGTCTAGCAAAAAATTAATTTCTGCTCTTGGAAAATCTGAAAAAGTCAGGGAATTTTTTCATTGAGTCTGCTGGACACCCTGTTCCTTGACGAAGTTCCATCCTCCGCGGTTGGAGAGAGAGTTCGCGCGACCGTTGCTCTCTCGCGATAGGCGAGAAGACCGTCGTGTCATCCGTGAAGAGAAATCCGTCTGTTTCGCGAGTCTGTGCGGCAGCCGCACAGCTGCGGTTCCGTTATAAAGCTGTGCTCCTCACTGGAGCAACAACGAGCAACTTTTCGTCGCTAAATGTCAAATAGTTCAGTATATTAGTCAAATATTTCAAAATAGTTCGATATGTGTTAATTTGACAACATTCTGTCCATATCGTTCCTTTGTGACTTGTTAACGCGTTCAACTAAATTACCATTTTGTTAATTGAACGTATATTAATATTTAAGCCACATATACGTTTCGTTAGATTGAATAAATTATATTTAATTTAAATATTTTTACACGTTTTTAATTAACAAAATAATATTTAGTTGAAAGGTTTAGTCAAGTTAACAATTTATTTTCAGTATGGCAATAGAAAGGAACTTTAAAGCTATGTCCTAGTAATTTTTTGTTGCTATATTTCAAAATAGTTCTTCAACATTTTGTTCATATTAAAGCAACATATTACAGGAACATTTGAGTTTTGTTCCTATTCCTCTTTTAACCGCGATTGTGTCACTGAAAATTAAAGGTCCACACTGAAGGAACATTTGTTCCGATTCTCTCAAAGTTTTTTAAAGTTCCTTATACCTTTAAAGTTCCTTAACTTGCATTATTAGTAACAGAAACAGTAAGAAACTTAAAGAAACTTTCAACAGCTAGCAACTTTTTGAAGAAACATGCAACATCAACAAAAAGTTGCTCGTTGTTGCTCCAGCGAGGACGTAGCTTAAAAACGTCTCTTATCGATGAGGATTAGAGGTAAACGTAATCATAAAAATTAAAAAAAACAACGGTATAGAGTGGGTGTGTATAAATCTTGGTAAATTCGAAAGAATTCTCTCTTCTCTCACCTCGACGTCCTCAACTCTCTGATGCTGACGCGCTAAACTCTCCGCTCTCTGCTCGAGTCTTATCTCGATATATATACCGATGCGATACCACGAACGCTACCTCATCAGTTGCATAATTCGACGCGACACGGCGCGTCGTGTATGTAGGTATGTATGTACATACGTGCATCGGCGCTCACGCGTGCTCACGCGTGCTTATCGCACGCAAGTTTACGAAGAGAGAGAGGGTACACGTCTCTTCTAGTCTCGCTGTCTCTCGAGACAGAGCGGTTTAAGGCTGATCTTTTTTTTTCTCCACCTCAGACGTGCGAGCAGCAAGCAATTTACAAGTTTTTTTTTCCAAGTCTCTCTTTTGATCGTTCACGCGTGTGTCGCGGGGAAAAAAAACCTGATTTATTACGACGCCTCTGGCGTAAGAAGGAGATTTATACAATTTTTCGCTTCGACCTCGTAATCCAATATGGCTGCGATGAGCGATGAGGAGTCTTAAGAGGAGAAAAATGAAATGCAGTCATAACGAACGCGATTATCCGAAAACGTCGTAGTCTTAGATAAATCTATCCTCATCTATCCTGCCTTTCGAATAGAACGAAGAAACGGGAGAGAAAGAGAGACGTTGCTACACGATGAGGTCTTGGCTCTGGTATGGACGCTTCTTTTAGTCCTCTCTCTCTCTCTCTCTGGTTCTTTCCCGTTCTCCACCTTCTTTCCCCACCTCCTATCTCTGGTGACGCGTGCACGGATACACGCATTCGTACACGCGCGTACTTATCGCACGAATGTGACGATGCAAGCGTATTATGTACAATGGAGAGCGGAGATAAAAAAGAGTATTTATCTCTCGCACACTATACAGCCGATCGACTAAACTTTTTTTTCCACGAATACTCCGCGACTCCGTGCGTTGTATCTCGTCAACGATGATTTCGGTTCGTCACATTTCGGTGTCACATGTTATGCACACGCGATGCGGTTCGTGTTTCTCCGCTATATAGATATAGAAGTCTCTGAAACATCTCGGGGTCCTCTCTGATTACGGTCGATAATTTGATTTGCCCTGAAAATACCGTACGGTGTGCAGTGAGCGCAGTGTTAATCGGAATTAGAAACTTTGTCTCCTTCCCTCTTTGCCCTCATGCTCTCCCTCTTCCCTCTTTTATATCTGTCTCTCTCTCTCTCTCTCTTCCCCCTCTTACGGTTCGGAGCGTCACATCGCGCCGCAACTCGACTGAACTCGACTCGACTCCACTCGATCGTGCTCGTAACAGTCGCGACTAAACTTGCGTGCAGCTCGCCACGTGCGTGCTCGATGCACCAGCCGAGTGTCTCCTAACTCGCGAAGCGGCCAACTTCCCGAAAAACTTCGCGCAATAATGTGACTTTTTTTTTTTTTTTAAAAAAAGCAATATTAGTGCGTAGATGAAAAACGCGGCAAATATATATTCGAATTTCAAAATATCGAGGTCCACGATATATTCGAAAGGAAAAAAAAAGAGAATTAGTGCAGTTCCGGAATATCTCTCACGATATATACACCCATCCTCGAATAAACGGGCCTTTCATCGTGGAATCTTATATACGCGGTTACTCATTTTACAGCGGTGTGTGCTTTTTTTTCACGCGTTTCACGAGCCGACTTCTTCCGTCTACTATTCTCGAGAATCGTCCTTAAAGGTGGATGGACTGTAATAACGGATTGAAGTTGTTCGTTTCCCCCCGTCTTCGAGTAAACTCGCGTATACATATATTTTATATATATATATCAGGCGCGCGATAAGATGTGAGCAGGGCGGCTTCTTGCAATCGAGCAATTTCTCCGAGAACAAGCAAATTCTTCGAGTGCACATATAATACATATATCGAGAATCGTTTCCTCGCTGCAGTCTCACGCTTTAAAGTTCTCAACATCCGCAGCAGTATAGTGGTCGAGTGCCACGTGGGTGTTATCGGGCTAGAAGTCGCTCCGATAGAATTCGCACGTAGGGAGCGATTATATGCGAACGAGTTCATTCATCGTACGGATTCCAGCTCGTCGGAAGTGACGACGACTTCCTCGCTGCCTGCTGGTGGCAGTGGTAGAGTGCCAGTGGTAGAGTGACACTAGTGTTTGTGCGCTCGCGCACACGCGCACTCGCGAGAACTCGCGCGCGAGTGCACGCGCGGCTGACCTAGAGGAAGCGAAAGGAGAAGAAAGAGAGGATGTCGACTCGCCGCCGAGCGACCGCGACCGCGTCGTGCGGCGAGATGCAGCGTCCTGTTGTCGGTCGACGGTCAGTGGCTCTTTGAAGGTTTCGTCTTATCGACGATGGACAGGATCGTTCGAGCGGATGAGAGCTCGGGAGAGATCGCGCCTTCTTATTGTGTCCTTGTTGTTGATCCCCGACGACGCGATAGCCAGCACGATTATGCAGCTGAAGAAAGCGATGCTTAAGATATTCGATCAATGTAAGTTTTGTTATTCATCTTCGGAAGCTTCTACGCGCTCTCTGCGCGCTAATAATAATTATTTCCTTTCGCGTCATCGCTAACGGACCTCTCTCTCGTTCTTTCTCTGTTCACCTACAACTGTCGCGCTAATCTCCCCGCATGTTCAAAATTAGCTTGTAAGTCACCACCGAAGCTCGCGTGAAACTGCAGGTTCAATTCGATGCGTGTGTGCATGTTTTCTTGTCCATCTGTATGCGCAACGATGCGATGAGACGTGCGTGCATTACGCGGCAACGTGATTCCGTCGTGCGCAGCATGGGCCCCCATTAAAGGCCCCTAGATCGTAATAGCGTAATAGCGTAGGGCGGATTAAATTGTAAGACATTGGCGAAAATTTTATAACCTTCGTCCGTATAAGACAACTTGACGTATGTGCATAAAACTATGTCCTCACTAGTGCAACAACGAGTATTTTATTGCTTATTGTCGCCAAATGTTTCAAAATAGTTCGACATATATGTGAACTCGCGACAACATTTTGTCCATACTGATGAAGCACATATGGACGTCCGTAGAATTAATTCTTTTTATTCTTTCTTCATTTTTTATCTGCTTGTTTTATTTTCATTTTTATGGTAAATGTGGAAATAAATTTTAGTGTTTTTTCAAAACCCCAAATGCCCTTTGAAATTGAAGAAAATTTGTTCCTTTGCGATTTGTTAATTTTCTTAAAGTTTTTTCTAAAGTTCCTTAATTTCTGTCGCCGGCAACAGAAACAGGAAGAAACTTTAAGAAAATTTCGACAACTAGCAACTTTTTAAGACACATGGAACGTGAACACAAAATTGCTGCAGAAAGGACGCAGTTTAACGTTATACATCCGGAAGAGATGTCGTTTCTTGAATGCAACAACTCGTTAACCTTCGCGTCGTGAAACGTCAAACGGTGACACGTGCTCGAGGCTAATGGAAATCCATATTTTTCGAGAAAATAATTTTTTTATAACCTTACACCGAAAAAATAAATACTTTCTACATATATTATATTGGTGCACACATCGATTCGTAATGTGTACATATCTGAAATTGAGCGGCTGTTTTCGTCTCTCGTTATCACCCTCGACTATCCGACGATATATGATATATCTCTTTAACGTAAACTACTAAGCTACTACGTAATAATATGCGTTAGTTCGCGGAGAAAAAAGATATTTATTTAAAGAGACGGCGTAAAAAAGTTGGAATAAAGTGAGGCGAAAAGTTCAACATTTTTCTTTCTCTCCTTCTTCTCTGATTAAATAGATAGACACGCTTGAATTAAAGAGCCAGACTCATCGTGATACGCTGCTGATTTTTCATCTCGCTCGATGCTAGTGCCACGATAAGATTTACAGTTAACGATAAGCGCCTTATCTCAGGCGCGAGAGAGCTGCGTAACCTTTGAATTTAAAGTGGAATTTCCATTGCACGAGATACGCACAATTTTGCGTTCCGATCCGATCTGATACCGCGATTTATCGGCGAGAGGGACTATGTTTATTTACGCGTTTGACAATTGCGTCAACAATCGTGTTGTTATCCGAAAGAATGACAACAATGGTCAATCCGTGTCATCGATTGACCAAATCTTATCGCGTGTTTTCATACGCACAAAAAAGAAATAAGAAACAAATACGATTTTACGAGTTGTGAGAATCGAGCCGTTATATTATTTAGAAATTTTATCCCCGATTTCTAAGACACGCTCGACCTGAAAATCTCGATATGAAAATAGTCTCGTGCGCGTGCGACGAGATCATTTTCGTATAATAATGAAGAAATGCGCAGGAGGAAAAGTATGCTCCAGATGATCTTATGATCCCTCCGATTTTTGTTTCTTTTTGCCAAAAATACGCGAAACTTATCGAACGTGGTCGCTATACATCGTCACCGATATTACACAGGAGCAATCGTACGAGACGAATCACGACGACGCTTAATTTGCATTGGCCAAGGTAACTGCCGCTATTTCGTTGCGTAACTTGGCGGATTATAAGAAGCGTTCGTTCCTCGATGACGTGCGATTTTCGTTCAATTTCTGCAAAGCGCCGTCGTAAAGAGATCGTTGCTCCTTGCTCCGATCCGCGCGATCTAATTGTAAGTAAATAAATCTCACAGTTATCGGAGATAATCGACGTATCGTTAAATAAGACTTCGAAGAACGTTTCTCTTCTCTCAATAAAAAAAAATACAAATTGACGTTCCGAGTGTAATAAAATTTCTTCACGTACGAGCGAAATGTCGCGCGTGACGTGAGAAAAAAGGTGCGAGGAAAAGAAAAAGTATAACGCTCTTTAAACTGAAATATGCAGATATGTATAGGCGTATTGGGATCGTTTCGTGTGGGCTATACACGACTCTTTTGCAAGCACGACGTGACGATACGCACGCGCGTACACGTGTTGGTCGGGTTTAATATAGCTGCGTGTGTCGTCGCTTAGACGTTTTACCTCGACGCATGCCGAAAGTGGAGCTCGATGACGAGCTTCCTCTTCTCCTTGGAATAAACGTCAGCTGCGAGGAATGCCGCGCGCTTCTTTCGGAGTCTCCTCAGACTTATAGATACAATAGTTTGGTGTTTGATCATTCATTCGTCACTTATACATGTATCATATGTTCAGGTAAGAGGGGGCATTGCCTTCCCCCTTCCTTAAAATCAGTAAAAAAATTTTAAGCATTTGTTCTTCTTCTGTATAAACACTAGAATTTATATGCATGCATATTTAATACAGAGAATTTTCTCTTAGAATTTACTCTGAAAATCATGGTAATCATGTGGTATAATATGCGGTATTGGAAGAATTTTATAAGTTTCTCTGATTAATATTTACCACAATAAAAAATAATATCTAATAATAAAAAAATCTATAATATCTAATAATAAAAAAATATAAGAAAATATTAATAATCATAATAAAATAGTAAAATTAATCGAACATATTTGATATCTTATATTGCGATAGATATTAAATATTTTTATTGCTGATTAAATATTAATCAGAGAAGTTATAAAATTCTTCAGTGTAAATTCTAGGAGAAAATTCTCTGTGTATAAAAAAATGAAAATAACAAAATAAAAAAATTAAGAACGAACAAAAAATATAAGGTACAAAAAAACTTCCCTGGAAAAAAATCTTGCAAACGCATTTTGAATGTTCAGCGTGCAAGAGAAAATACATTTTTCTGCGAAATTGACGCTCTACATTTTTCAGATTTAATTACGATGATTTTTCGCGGAACTCTTTCTCAAACGGGTTTATCGGAAATTCGACAAGACTTCGATCGAATATATCGAAATTCTGAAAATGGGATTTGCTAACTTTGCGCAGAGATGACAGTAATCTCGATTGAAATTGAACTATAAAGAGATCTCAAATGTGTATCATGATATCTGCGAATGGCAAACGTCAATGGAATACTAATCGTCGATTTGAAGTAAAAAAAATTCCATCGCGGAAAGCGATTTCGAAAGATCAAATTGACGTCTCTCTTTAAACGCGGACCGGAAATGTGTTCAGGTTTATTGGCGATACATTTTCCAGAAATTGAAGAACGTGGGTAGATGACACGATTAGAGTCGGACGCCTACGTAGCGACGTATCTACGCGACTACTAATTCCGCGGCTATTAATAATCATACACCGAAGATGCGCGTGAAACAAAGAAACCAGATGGTCCACGAATCAGTCTCACTTTATTTTCATACACATACACATACATACGGATTTGAAAGAAAACGGTAGCATTGAACTTGACAGCACAGTGACGACCAAGTACGCGAGACTTGGCGGGAAAAAGGGAGGGCGAAAGAGAGAGGAGAGAAGGGAGTCTGTGTGATGCTGTCAGAAAACGAAGAACAGACGACCGGTCTGAGAGCAGGTTTCAACGGTCTGTTGGTGTATGTATGTGTGTATGTATATTTGAACGCGAACGTGGGGAGAATCGCCCGGCCAAAAGACGATAAATCCTTTTTTCGCCTCATCGTCCTTCCACCTTTCGAGTCCTTCGACCTTGCCGCGATCGCTGTTACATGGACCGAGCGCGCTTCCGGTTTCTGGAAAACTGGTCCGTCCGCTATACGTTTGCGTCATCGGCTCTAAGAATCCATGTCAAATTTGGTGCCGCCGCAGATCTTCTATTTTGTTCTCTAAACAAAGCGTCGAATTACGCACCGATCGGTTTGGTATACACGGAGAGAATTTTCTCTTGGTAATCGTGGGATAAGATATGGTATTGGAAGAATTTTATAAGATTCTTTGATTAATATTTATTACAATAAAAATATTAATATATACGTAGTAAAATTAATCGAACATATTTTGTATCTTATTGTGGTAGATATTAATATTTTTTTGTGGTAAATATTATAATCAGAGAAACTTTTCTAAAATTCTTCCAATTATTCCATAATTATCAGAGTAAATTATAAGAGAAAATTCTTTTGTACGAAAACACTTATGTAGCAAGAACCTTTCGATAAGTTTCAGACGTTACCGCGTTATGCAAATCTCGAATACAAGATTTATGATTCTTAGAAAGAAAATTCTTAGATTTAGCGGTCTGTAGTTTTACTTTCCGCTTTTCTGAAAAAGAACATGCATATGAATGATTAGCTATTAGCAAAGATGCGTTTCTTATCGCCCAAATTTGCATTTGTAATTTCCAACGTAAAACAAACGTCGAATAATCGATTCCAAGTGCCATTTTCATTTAGATATTTCTCGGAAGAATCTATAGTCGATTTAATTCCCGAATTAATCGATCATATGTCTTTCATTCACATCTCTCTCTCTCTCTCTCTCTCTCTATCTTCTCTCATCTCGTTTTATAAAAGAATTGTATTAGATCTCGCGACACATATCGCGTATAGTTCCAGGAAAATTCCCGTAAGGATACCTGTAAAGCTATGTTCTTACTGAGCAACAACGAGCAACTTTTTGTTAATGTTCCATGTTGTTTAAAAAAGTTGCCAGTTGTTGCCGAAATTTCATAAGTTGCGTCTTCATTGGAGTAATAACGAGCAATTTTTTGTTAATATTCTATATTCCTTAAAAAAGTTGCTAGTTGCCGAAAGTTTCAAGTTACGTCCTCACTGGAGTAATAACGAGCAACTTTTTGTCGACGTTCCGCATTCTTGAAAAAAAGTTGCTCGTTATTGCTCCAATGAAGACGCAGCTTATGAAATTTCGGCAACAACTGACCACATTTGATTAATGTTCCATGTTTTTTAAAAAGTTGCCAGTAGTCGAAATTTCATAAGCTGTATCTTCATTGGAGCAATAACGAGCAACTTTTTGTCGATGTTCCGCATTCTTGAAAAAAAGTTGCTCGTTGTTGCTTCAATGAAGACGCAGCTTATGAAATTTGGGCAACAACTGGCCGCATTTGATTAATGTTCCATGTTTTTTAAAAAGTTGCCAGATGTTGCCGAAATTTCATAAGCTGTGTCTTCATCGGAGCAATAACGAGCAACTTTTTGTCGATGTTCCGTATTCTCCAAAAAAAAGTTGCTCGTTGTTGCTTCAATGAAGACGCAGCTTATGAAATTTCGGCAATAACTGGCCACATTTGATTAATGTTCCATGTTTTTTAAAAATGTTGCCAGTTGCCGAAATTTCGTAAGCTGTGTCTTCATTGGAGCAATAACGAGCAACTTTTTGTCGATGTTCCGCATTCTTGAAAAAAGGTTGCTCGTTGTTGCTCCAATGAGGACGTAGCTTAATGAGGAACGACGATCGGATGGTCGAGTAAAGTGAGACAAGACTGCGGCCACAGATCGGTGGCGAGCAGATAGGTCAGCTTGGCGCCATCGGGCCGAGGCGAAGGCGCGTGAAGGCCGGTCGGTCGGTTTCTCAGCTTTCCGACGCGTCGAGCAGCTACAAGACCAAGCGTGTTCGCCTTTTGTATAATTGTGCCTTTCGTACGCGTGTATACAGGATACGTGTTGTTGCACGAGAGCCTGTCGTCCGCGTATATCCGAGAGACGAAATAATTACTTCGAGGGCTCTCTCGCGAGAGAAGTGGTTCGAAATACGTCGCAAATTATTCGTGAGCTTTGTTCGGGGAACCACTTGATTCTCAATACTATCAATTATGATCTGACAAAGCATCCGAATGAATCGTTCGTACAAAATAAAGTCGGTATAGTATCAGACTGGACAGTTTTATTGCCTCTGTAAAATTGACATCTATTTTTTTTTTTAAGGAAAAATTCTAGTCGGCGAAAATGTTTATGAATTCTCTAAGCAACGACTGACGTGTTATCGGAACAACTTTGCCGCATAGATAACTTAATCGAATTTTTAAACGCGCATGATTATCAGCTGACTGTAACCGACTTGTATAAGCTTCAATTTTCAGTTGTTTGGCTTCTACTATCTTCGAGTAGTATATAATTATCGGATTCCCTGTTGTGTGCGTATGTCTGTGTCATCGAAGAATGGCAAAAGCGATGACGTTCACGATCGAGGACTTGTTAAACCTAAAGCATATTCATTATAATCGAGTGATCGTCGAACAAAAAGAACATTCATTGTAAACGCGTATAGGAAAATGAAAGCTGGGAAAAGTGTCGCGATAATATCTTTTATTTTTGTTTTCACGATTGCTTTATTGTTTGAGTTTTCTATGAACATTTACATATATCCGTCTGACGCAGTTTTTCTTTGAGTCGCGGAAATTCTGTGAACAAATTTGCGAGTTGATTTTTTTCTCTATAAAAATACCGAGGCACATAAGTCTCGAATTATATGTATATGCGACTGTGACAGAAAGGCTTTCTGATAAATAAGTTTCAGAGGAAGAAATGGATAATAAAATAACATTTTTGTTAATTAGATTCGAATTGATTTTTTCTATTTAGGACTTATCGCAAAAAACGTATGATATTGAAAAGTTGTGACGGACACCTTCCTCGTTATTTTTATTGGAGAAAATTCACTGAATTTTGAGGAAAGAATTCGCAGATTAAAGCAAGTACGCTTTGGGAGGGACACCTCGTATAACGAGTTTTAAGATGCACGTCGTGCACGCACTGGCTCGTCCATACAATCCGTAACTTATTTAAACAGACTATCGATATTCAGCACGCGTTTAAGAATCGAATAGTTTGAAATTGCCAGTAACATCAGAGAAAGAGAGACATAACGAGGGGAAGAGCAGGAGTGAGAATGAGAAAGGAAGCATGGAAAACACAGAGTAGCATCGGCCCACCCACGTATGTCATATTGTTTTGTATGTAAAACATCGTCAGCATAGTTTAGATCGGAGGCTAAATTTTTATACAAACAGGAAGGATAGTCTATGAAATAATGTTTGGATAGGAAAAAATCTATCATACGGAATCTTTCAGTTATATCGCGTCAACATTACAATTTTGCAAACTACACAGACACATTGTAGAGGAATCGCAAGGTACACCAATAAAAGTTGCGTAACGTATTTACTTTGTTGCACATTTGCAATAAAAAATTTCTGCGGACTTTCCTGTATGGAAAATAAAGAAACTGAAAAAGTGGACAATATACAAAAAAAAACAAAAAATTGATTATGCCTCCCTCTTGAAAAAAATTCTGCGGGCTCCCATGACAATATATATGGGATATACATCTCGTGGCGCGAAAATAAACGGATAGACAATGATTCTATGAATAATAGAAATAATGTAGAATAAGATCTCGACTTGTGCTACATCATGCGGAGAATCATTATCTTTTCCAGCGGTGATCCGTCAGTTAACGGAGCGTTCTGAATTTCGTTGCGTCGCCGAGAAAGCTAATATTTCGCGCGATTACTTCGCTATAGCCGATTATCGTGGCGACATCCGTACACGTATACGACATCAGCCGGGTAGTTGATAATCGACAGTTTGAATGAGCAGGACCAATGCGACGTACGCGGGTAACTCACCCGTGAAGAAAACGTGCGCTCTTTCTCTCTCTCTCACGTCTCGTATAGGAAATTTACCCGGTATAATCCGTGTCGTGTTTTTCCACGGATTTCGTTTACATTTGGTCGCCAGATCCACTCTTCGTTGCTCCAATCCACACTCCCTCGATTCACTCGGCATGGGTTTAAAAGGGATCTCGATTTTAGGGGATTGTAAACAAAAAACGAATTTTTTAAATATAAGTATATACTGAATAATTTCACATTTCATATCTTATTATTTAGAGATATGTCAAAATATAAAACATGAAATAAACTTTGTATGCGTCATTCTAATACTTTCTGATATCACGCGAGACAGAAATCTATTATATAGTATATAAAAAAGTCATTAAAGAATATGAAAGAGTCATTAAAAGGAAACGTCTATCATGAATAAAAATATTGCAACCTTGGAGAAAAATTCCTGTCGACGATTAAACATTCGTTCCTTCAAAACGACCTCTTCCTGAAACATATTTTTCGTGTCATCAAAAAGTTATGAGAGTATATTTAGAGCATATAATCGTGGTAAGAGGAGAGAACCACGTATATATCAAATTACCAATCGATGATGGATTGAGATGTCCCAGCTAATGGAGGGAAATTTTGGTTCCGATCGAAGCCAGAGAGATACAGGATACTTTTAGTAAAAATCGGTGCGACAAACTCTTCGATATACGGTAGGGTGAGTCTTTTCAATTTTAACAGGCAAAAATAATAAAAGTTTCAAATAAAGGTCAAACCAAGGTCAAGTCAAGGTCACTATTATACGTCCCCCTCAGGACCGTACGACTTTTATCTGAAAGTTTTTTTTCAAAACTGTATATTTTCAAAATACGCGTCTGGCAAGATGAAAAAGACTCACCCTGTATATGCGCACGAATAAAATATGAGACTTACACTTTGGACATGACGAGCACGCGCCTTACCTTTGCGCCAGGTCGGGCTGGGGGGAACGCGAGGTGACGATGACGTTACCATGTGGTTTTCCTTTGATGTGCAATATCCGCTCTCACAGCCGTGTGTCGGGTCGTGCGTGCGCACACATCGCGGAATTGCTATAGGTCGAGACACATCGTCGCGCGAATAAAACGTTATCTCGAAATATGTTCGACTTCTCCTGTCGACGCATCATTTTCCATCAACTCATGAGCACCCGGTATCAACCCGTGTTTTCTACATTGCATTATGATAATTTCTTTAGCGTCACCTGTCGCGGGCGTGAGACCTTTTTTCTCGTTATCATCTACTATCATAGGAGGTTTCCGAATACAAAGGCTCTCTTTGTGTTTTCTTTTGGGCGGAGAAAAATGCCGACACATTTTCAGCAGTTGCTTTGTCAATGGATACCCAGGTATCCATTATCGGCGAAATAAGGGTCGAAAAGAGAAAAATCGTGCAACATACATAATCTATTCGCTTGAACGATGCGCGTTTTCGCAATATTGCGAGGCTCCGCCCGGATCGAGTTAGCATTCCATTAGAACTTTGTTATAATTGATAGACTCTTCTCTGTCTCCCGAGAGTTTTCGATTTCTCGGGTACGTTTCGAAAAAAGGGCGAGAGAAGTTGAAGCGTCAGCTTGTAATTGAGATAATTGCGAAAACCGATACGATAAGAAACCCGCGAAAACGATTCTATTAATTAATTACGACGACGTGAAAATCTGCAGGCCTGCACTTGCGGAGCATCGAGGAGCCGAGGATGACGGCGGAGACGGCGGCTCCCTGCGTACAGGGAGTACAAGGAGCACAGACCGGCGTGGCCAGCCAGAGTATGTTGCAACAGGTGCAGGATGGAAGTGGTGGCAGCGGCGGCGGCGGCGGTGCTTATTATTCCTCGACGTCGACTGTCTACGATCCGGAGTATGCTCGGATGGAGGCTTGGCTCGACGAGCATCCAGACTTCGTCAACGATTACTTCTTACGGTATTATTCTCCTTCAAATTAACCATTCAGAGATTCCCGCTAAGTCATTCAAACGTCAAATGCACCACAAGCTATATATGTATAAGCAACTATTTGTTCCTTGTTGTTGCTAAATGTTTTGAAATAGTTGGTCAACATTTTGTTAATATTGAAGCGACATGATTAAAGGAACATTTGGGTTTTCTTCCTATTCCTTTTTTAATCGCGACTGTGTCACTGAAATTTAAAGGTCCACGCTGAAGGAACATTTGTTTCTTTACGATTTATCAATTTTCTTCAAGGTTTTAAAAGTCCTTGCTGTTTCTATTGCCAGCAACTTTTGTTGCAACAACTAGCACCTTTTTTGAGAAACATGAAACGTTAACAAAAAGTTGCTTCTATGTATTTGCCATTCTTACAATCCTTCGAGCTTACCGAATCTTTTGGTTGTTCGTAATTAAGATTAACAATTAAATCAATCAATTAATTCTTAGGCATGCATTTTCAGAAACCGGTATTATTAGATCATCACTAATGTTTTTCTCAATTAATCTTCAGGAAGGTGACACGGCAGACCGTAGACATGTGGCTGGTGTCACACGCGACGCCGACCTCGTCGTCCAGCAGCTGCATGGAGCTCTCCAGCCCGACCCACGCGGCCGGCAACTCGTCCTCCGGACGTGGTGGTGGCGGTGCTGGTTCGGGTGCCACGACACCCGTACGCAAGATCTCGGCGCACGAGTTTGAACGAGGGGGCCTTCTCAAACCGATCGTCAACACGATCGACGGAACGCCGACCTTTTTGAGTGTCTCGCCAGGCGACATGGGTCAACCGGGTGGCGCCCAGGTCGGATCCGGATCGATAAACTCGAACCGACCTCAAAGACGATCCAGGCACGAGCTCAGGCACCTCGACGAGAAGGATCTCATTTTCGAGTTGGTAAGTGATTTTGCGAAGGTACGCCGTCGAGCTTTTATTCTCAAGGGATATTCATTTCATCAGGTCAAGGACATTTGCAATGAGCTGGACGTGAGATCGTTGTGCCATAAAATCCTGCAGAACGTGAGCACGCTTCTCCACGCGGATCGCGGCTCGCTGTTTCTCGTCCAGGGCGAAAGAAGCGGCACCAACGTCAGCGTGCCGTCTTCTCACACCGAGAATCACGAGGTCGTCGCGAATGACTTCGACAACGAAAATCCGCGACGTAACGAACAATCCTATTCGAGGAGCCGATGTCTAGTGTCGAAACTCTTCGATGTTTGTTCGAGGTCGACGTTGCTAGAGATGGAAAAGAAAGATGAGATTAAGATTCCCTGGGGCACCGGAATCGTCGGCTACGTCGCTGAGAGCGGGGAACCCGTCAATATACCTGACGCTTACAAAGTAAGGACTTGGAATTACCATTTATCTATCTTATCCATCTAATAAGAGCGCGCGATGCGCTTCGCACCTGGTCGATTGTTATATTAGCGTTGGGAATTCTTGATGAATCATCATAATTTTTCGTATCTGGAATGCGATCGTTTCTGATATATAAATAAATGTGCACAAATATATATTTATCTGATGCATTTCTTATCTTTATCTAGATTATCATTAATTTGCGAGAATAATTTGATTATCACTTAGTCTTTGTGCTCTTGAAAAAAAAAAAATATAGAACAGGGTTACTTCGATCGACGAAATGTAACACGCATATAATTAATATATAATGTGCATATGTTGAAAATAATTTAAACATGTTTCAGGACTCGAGGTTTAACCGCGAAATTGACGCATTAACGGGATACCGTACGCGTGCCTTACTATGCATGCCTATTAAAGATTGCAATGGTGACGTAATTGGCGTGGCACAGGTAATCAACAAGCTCGGCGGCGAAGGACAATTCACTGCGCAAGACGAAAAGATTTTCGCCGGTTACTTACAATTCTGTGGTATCGGTTTAAGAAACGCGCAGCTTTACGAGAAGAGTCAATTGGAAGTGAAAAGAAATCAGGTAAATGCCGATTTTGTTTTCGATCAGAATTGCAAGATTATTGAACATAAAATTGTATTTCAATGCGTTTTTGACTTTTAGGTTTTATTGGATCTGGCTCGAATGATTTTCGAGGAACAAAGCACGATAGAGCACATGGTTTTTAGAATTCTTACGCATACGCAATCGTTGATTCAATGCCAACGTGTTCAGGTAATTAACATAAACGAGATTTACTGCGAGAAGGAGGTGCGTTTATATGAGCAAAAGAAAAACGCGTTAGAACGTTATGATTGTTTTCAGGTGTTGCTCGTGCACAAAGCTTCGAAAGGCAGTTTCTCTCGCGTCTTCGACTTTGAGGCGAACGATCTCGCTGGCGAAGATTCCGATTCTCGCACTAGGTGAATCAAAGCATTTATAATTATCATTTTTTGTCGATAAATTTTGACATCTAACAAATTTTTTTTTTTTGCAGTCCATTTGAGAGTAGATTTCCTATTAACGTCGGCATCACGGGTTATGTAGCGACAACCGGTGAAGTGAGTATTATTCAGTTTCTCTATATTCTCTATGTATGTGACTGTGCAACATTAGTGTTCGAGACGATAAAAAAAGCGATTTTTCAGACTGTCAATATACCTAGCGCTTATGAGGATCCGAGATTCGATCCACTAGTGGATGATGGTACTGGTTTTAGGCATCGTACGATTCTTTGCATGGCTATTAAGAACTCCTCCGGTCAGATAATCGGTGTCATCCAGTTGATCAATAAATTCGACGATCTGCCTTTTACAAAGAACGATGAGAATTTCGTCGAGGCGTTCGCGATATTCTGCGGGATGGGAATTCATAATACGCATATGTAAATATATCTGTATATTCTTGATATACTCTTGGACTATCTAATCTACGTAACCTGATGTATCGAATTTGTTTGTTATTCAGGTACGAGAAAGCTGTGATAGCAATGGCGAAACAGAGCGTCACTTTAGAAGTGTTGAGTTATCATGCATCGGCGTCGTTGGAAGACGCACAGAGATTGCGGGTAGGTATGCTTCTAACTGTTTGCTTCGCGATATCTTGTAATTTTTAAACGTTTATTGTCTATTCTTTACTTCTATAGAATTTAAGAGTCCCGTCATCGGTACATTTTCAACTGCACGATTTCAAGTTTGACGATATACATATGGAGGACGACGAGACTCTCACCGCGTGTCTTAGAATGTTTCTCGATCTGGATTTTGTCGAACGGTTTCACATCGATTACGACGTACTCTGCCGTTGGTTGTTGAGTGTGAAGAAAAATTATCGAAACGTTACGTATCACAATTGGCGACACGCCTTTAACGTGGCTCAAATGATGTTCGCTATTTTAACAGTAAGTCTCTTTTTTTAAACGAGTGCAATATCGATTCTTATTTACAAAACGGAAATTATAATCGCTTCTTTCTTTCGTTCTCTTAGGCTACGCAATGGTGGAAGATCTTTGGCGAAATCGAATGTCTCGCACTTATCATCGCCTGCTTATGTCACGATCTCGATCATCGCGGAACAAACAATTCTTTTCAAATCAAGTGAGTGCTATTACATTATTTACTTTTAAATCCATTTATACTTTTCATCTTGTATGACAAATTCTTTACGGAAATACTATTTCTTCCTTTTTTAGAGCCTCTTCGCCATTGGCACAGCTGTACTCGACCTCAACGATGGAACATCATCACTTTGATCAATGTCTGATGATCTTGAGCAGTCAGGGCAATCAAATTCTATCGAATCTTTCGCCAGAAGAATATTCGCGCGTAGTGAAGGTTCTCGAAGAAGCGATACTCTCGACCGATTTGGCCGTTTACTTTAGAAAACGTGGTGCTTTCCTCAGTTTAGCACGTAGTGGTGGTTACAACTGGGCCTACAATGATCATCGAGAGCTTTTGCGTGGAATGCTAATGACAGTCTGTGATCTCGCCGCGATTACGAAACCGTGGGAAGTCGAGAAAAGAGTAGCCGAGCTCGTTAGCAGCGAGTTTTTTGAACAGGGCGACATAGAGAGACGGACGCTCAACATTACGCCTATTGTGAGTAATGTCAATGTGTATGTACATGTAATAGATTTATAGAGATTTTGAAAACGTTCTCTCATGCATTTGTTTTTCGTATTTTATTATAGGATATTATGAATCGAGAGAAAGAGGACCAATTGCCAATGATGCAAGTCGGCTTTATCGATTCGATCTGCCTTCCTATTTACGAGGTATGCATAGTGCGAATTGCAAATTAATTCTATCTTTTAATAAAACATTTTCTTTATATATTTTATTGGTCTTTTCGTTTTAATAGGCGTTTGCCCAACTGTCGGATAAACTTGTGCCGCTCGTTGATGGAGTGACAATGAATAAGCAACATTGGTTGAAAATTGCCGAGAGCAAGAGTCAAGCGGAGAACTGCACAAATCACGATAGGACGCCGTCAACGTCGGTGTCTGATAACGAGGAGACCAGTGAACAAGCGGACCAATAGTCATTACATTGACGTCACTGATTGCTAGAATACACAAAATGGAGCCGTAGCGATCGTCCGTCAGTCACGTCAAAAAGAGAAAAAAATACGGGATATAGTTTATCTTTTACGGATCGTTTCCAGTGGCAACTGGTTTTCTCATCTCAATTATCAGGGCCTGTGTCTTGCGTGTCTGCTATGAAACAGGTGATACATACATATGTACATAAGTTATATATATGTATGTATAAATTTATGTATATGTGTATGTATGAATTAATAAATGTATGTATGTATGTAGGTATGAATGTAGGTATAAATGCATGTATAACGAACTCTACACTACTTCATTTCCGTCAATTAGATTTTTACGGATTTCACAGATCTGCTGATCAAATAGACCAAACATTCAACTTTTTCGCGTTGAACTCTTATATCTTAATCAAAATTGTTTTGTATATTGTTTTGTATAATGTATAAGTTGAACTTATAAATATCGTCGATTGAACGATCTTGCGAAATGCGATGAGAAAGATCTTTGTTCTCTTTCTCTTTTTCTCTCTGTCTTATCTCGTCTCTTAATTCTCTTGTCTTTTCATTCTCGCCCTCGTTCCCGCCCTTCTTCCATTTATTTTTCTCTGTCCGTCTTCCTAGAAACTAAACCAATCAATCTCCATATATGCTACTATTGTACCTGATTGTATTGTACATATATTTACTACGACAGACTTTCGATATAGACAGAGAATAAAGACAGAGAGGGGGAGATGATTCTCTAAAATATATACTGTACAATAGTTTTCGACGGAAATCGATTCGTCGAAGGACACAACTGAACGGAACGGCGCCTATACGCGCTAATTAGATTATATATTTGTATACCAAAGTGTAAATTTATATATCGAGATCGATTACGACTACGGTCAGACGATAAAATAGCAATTCGATCGGTCTGTGTGACGCGTGCTAATTAACTAATTAGCAATTAATTACGGCAGACATAGTACCTGTCAGGCTTCTCAGTTGCTTTGTCTTTGCTTCCTGTTTCGAAGATAGATACTTCGAATCGATCTCGACCCGAACAACTGTTTTTCGTCTTTGCGTGGAACTGTCATATCGCGTATGAAAAAATAAATAATCCAAAAGTTCAGCAACAAATAAGAGCATCTATATTTGCTTTTATTATAGTTGTAAAATAAACCACAACAAGGCGATAAAGTTTAGCATTTTTTCATGTTTCATTTTTTATATCAATAATTCTTATGATATTTAATATGATATATATAATGTATATTAAACATTTATCATAGATATGACACGTGTCTGCGACTTGATAACGAGAGAAACACGCATATCATTAAGTGTTCGCTGAAACAGGATAGCCCTTACATCTGTTATCATATCATACGTGGAAAGCAGAACGCGTGTGGATTATAAGAAGGGACTAATCTCGCATTCGCGTCATCCGATAAATTTTCCTGGCACATATATCACGGCTCTGAGAAGACGAAAGACAGTTTAGGCATTTAGTGATCGCACGTGTGATCGTTTACTTATTATATAATCATAGCGCGTGACTTCCTCTATATGTTCCTTTAATCCTGCAATCTTTTAAGTGATCTTCTTTCTGTTTTTTTTTTTATTTTTTTTTTTAATTTTTATTTTAATATATCCGACTCCAAGCGATACTTGGTTCTGCGTTTCCCACGAATAATAACACTGCAACGTGGGATAAAGTGATGAAAATGTAACAAGTGTGATAAAGCTCCCTCGTGTGCGTGTAATTGTATAGCGCGGGTGTGTATGCTCGAAAAGAGAATGCAAGAGCTATTGTACAGTTATTTTTTTTTTTGTGTAAATTATATCGTGAAATACGGCGCACGTCTATCGTTTACGATAATAACGATAATAATGATGATGTGCAAGTCATATATATATTATATATATATATATATATATATATATATTATTCTACGAACAATATATATTAAAATCTAATATATTAAAATGAGAATAAATTATGCGAATGTGTACGTAATGTACCCCTAATAGCGTTTCCTACAGTCCCGTGCGTGCGATCGATAGTTAACAGATTGCGTTCGATGATATGTGCGGGCTGATCGCCGACACAGTTTCGCAACGTTTGTACCAATGGACCTTGATCGCCGCGACTGATGCGTGCCAGATGCGTGGCCAAAAGTGTATATTAATCGCATACGACTCGTTTCAAAAATTCACGTTCAGTCTTTATCATAATTTTATTTCGATTTTATTACAATTCTCGCATCGCAATCGGAATGCGAGCATATTCGCGAAAGACAATTGTCGCTAACGGCACGAAGACGAAGAATAAGCTTCCACGATATCGTTATTTAGTGTTGTTGCGCGATTTCGTGACTTCGCATGACAGATAGAGCAACGTCGTTGCCGATGGCGACGAGCTTATCGTGGACTTGCGCGTGTGTCAGCTGACTTATCGGTTCCCCGTTCAGTTTAATAATCACGTCGCCCGCTTGCAGACCAGCTTTGTCAGCTAGACCCCCGATCGTCACCTTGTCGAGAAAGCGTCAGCGATAATATTTAACGAATAAAACTGCATGCGAATCACGCGAAGATATTAAAACAGGATATCTTACCCTGACGATAGTTAAGGGAAATGTAAAGTCCACACCTCCGGAGAGCCGAAAGCCCCACGGTTCAGCGTTAGATCGCGATAATTTGATATCAGTAGTGATCGCCATGATGAAGTACAGCTCGTCTTATACCTGAAGGTAGATTAGCACATTGTTAATTATTGAGCAAATTCACGAATGCTTCTAATAGATGATGTAATCACGAAGAGATGCGTCTTTTAAATCGCAGACGCAGAGTTTCTTTTCCATTCACTTAACACTATACATGCGCTACTCGAAATACCTGCTGGTTCAAGTTCAGAAGTGAGATCCGCTGCTCGACTTTTCGTTTCGGGCTCTACATTGTAGCGCGTCGCGCATTCGAATTTCGTTCGGTCTCGGCGTTGCATCTGCGCCGGACGTGCATATGATTACCTAACGCGGTGCACGCGTGCGCGAGATGCGCGCTTTAATTTCGCGCGCCAAATCAGTGGTCCAAGGAGGCTGCGAGAGAGCTTCATCGAGTCGTCGCTACTCATATCGGGAACCAAAAATCAGGAAGAGAGCGCGGGTAATACTCCCATATAAATACTAATTTAAATATAATATCAATTTAAATATTTATCAGAATACGTTTCATCCGAGGTGACTTTAATCCGACTTCTCGCGCTCCGAGCGAGGACGACATTTCGGATTCCGCGCACGCCCCAACGACGACCCCGGCCCCTGGTCCCGGCAGGAGACACAGCTGAGGCGTTCTCGGCGAGTCACGAATGAGCCTCCGGAGAGGCAGCTTCGTTCTCCTCGTGGAATCTTTTCGCCGGCAGCTATCGTCGCGCGGATAACATTTTGTTTCCTTCTCGCGCGCGGTTCTCTTCGCTCGACGATCGGATTTCCTCGCAGACATCTCATCTCGTCGGCGATCTCCCGCACGCATTCGCGCGGGAAACGAACGAAAGTGTTAAATGTCGAGGGTAAGTGCGCGGATCGTTCGCTCGCTGGACCGCGGTTCTTCGCTTCTGTTAATTTCCAGATCACGAGTTCTTCGATCCCGCGCTCTTTCTCGACTCTGTTTCGCGTTATTGTTCACTTGTATATTGTGGATTTATATATAAGTTATATTTCGCGCAATTTATCTATGTTATATAACACACAAGGATGCGTATATATATATATATATATATATATATATATATATATATATATATATATATATATATATATAGATAATTTTCTTGTGAAGACAGATTTCGCGATACGTCAATTGTCTCGATGATAAACATATTTTTTGCACCAATTTTGTCTTTTTCAACTAATTTGATCTTAATCTTGCGCAATTAATAAGTAATGCGACAAAAAATTCGTTCGCTCCTTTCATGTACAAATGTGACGGTTTTTACTAGCGTTCGCTGTCAATTATTCGCGATTTGGATATTTCATATTTTTTATAACGAAGATATGTCAAAAATAACGAGAACCCGTCAATTCTTCGAAAAAAATCGATCGCTCGTAATTGTACGGTAATAGCCGACTGTGATAAAAATCTCAATTGTATATATATATATATATATATATATATATATATGTATGTGCATGTATTTACATTGAATTAGCGTAATATTTCAGTGATTGGTAAAGTGTCATGGTTCCGGTGAATGGAAATATCCATCGCGCACACAAAACACAAGTAGCCTCGACTTGCATACGGATACGTGCAACCTTCCTGCGTAAGTTTTTAATTGTTTTACGTAATTACTTTATATATAATATTAGGAATATATATATATATATATTCTTAATAGCACAACATACTCGAAAGTTATTCAGAGGATATCTAGAAAATACACGAACATCCTCAGAATGCTCTCTGAACGTCTTCGGGATATGTGTGCTGTTGGAGATAATATATATATATGTATATATTATATTGACATATTTTTTATTAACATATATATATATATATATATATATATATATAATATTAGTCCCACGCGCAAAATAAATTTAATTGTTAGACTGTGGAAAAAGGGTAAGTTGTGACGCTGGACTCTCGTCAGCCTATCGATACGCGCGGTTTAGTTTGCGTATCGCATAAAATAAATCGAGGGCGAGAGAGAGAGAGAGAGAGAGAGAGAGAGACTCGAGGTGGGGTGAGAGACTCGGGAGTTCTGGGGGTGGCTGTGTCGGTGCCGGTGGCTGCATCGATCGTCTCCACCGCTCGCTATAGCGGCCGTTTTCTACGGACAATGCGACCTCGCCGCGCCAGAAAAATAGCGTAAATCGCGATAGCGACTCGTCGTCGTCGACCACGAAGGCCGCACCGTCCCGGCGCGGTGTGGCTGTATGCGAATCGGTCCGACACGTGGACACCCTCCGGCCGAATCATCGACTTTGTCGCCGCGCTTATCGATCCCGAAAGATTGAAAGAGGCGGGACTCGCGCGAACTGTGTGACACTTTCGCGCCTGTTTACCTTTCAATCGCTCTTCTATATATCGATTCGATATGAGTTTGCGCTATTTCGTCCTATTTTTGCTTTTTGTTGCCCCCTTCCCTTTTAATCGAGCTAAAACCAATCTCCATTATTTCGCAACGATAAATACGACTGTACTCTCTCTCTCTCTCTTTCTCTCTCCTCTTACTTAACTTTTTATACGCGTCTCATCATTATCCCACGACAAGGCGATCACGCGACGATGGATACATGCGAGCGCGAACGATGCCGCCGAGGGTTGTAGGGGGTTGTTGAGGTTTATTCAAGGTTGAGCGAACCTCACGTGTCGCTTGTCAAAGGGCAGGTAAGTCGCTGGAAAAAAATGGACTCGCCTATACATATATTCTATTTTACGACACACACGTCGTGGAAACGGGAGACGAAATCGAGTGATAGCAGGCCGATAGCCGTGCTAGTAATATCCCCGACTCCGCCTTGTGCGTTCGTTCGGTTTAAAATAGCGGAGCTTGCAGCGGAGAAATTCCTTTTCGTCTTATCGAGCGGATAATAATTGATAATCGCGAAATTAATCGCGGTGTGCCCGACGGGGGATATGGAACGCATCGCATTATTATATCCCGCGTTCTTGTTTTGTGTTCGACGCAGACGATCCCGTAGACTCCCCGATGGAGGAACGAGAGGGCTGAATCCGAGGCGGAAATATGCCCGGGCGATCACCGGCCAGGGCTTACGAGCGGCCCATTGCGAGCGCGGGCCGCAAGCGAGCCGCTACTTGAATGTCACCGCCGGAGGTGAGATTTATTCTATCCCGAGCGAAGGGTATTTTTATTTTCGGATCCTCCCGCCGACGGTTCTTCTCGTCAAAACTTGTTTCACAAATATCAACCGTGGGCGACCGCAGCATTTTTTTCCAGGAGGGTGCATAATTACATTTCTTATTTCTTCCTCTTGTTCTTTCTTAATTCATTAAATTTACATTCTTTTATTATTTTTATTTTTTTTTTTTTTAATATTAAATGTGCAAATAACTGCCAGTGTTTAATCAAAAGGAGAGTAATGCTAAACGTTTTTTATACTGATGCCAAGGGGACAAATATGTATCTTCTTGCACCTCTCTGCGGACGCCCAATTAGGATTTCTTTTTTCTTTTTTTTCTTTATTTATGCCGAGAGAATATTAAATCTTTTATCACTATCTGCATACCTATTTAACGATTTTGATATTAAAATAAAATATTCTATTTCTTTTTTAAAGTTGAAATCAATTTTTTGAAACTTGTGTTATATTTTTTTAAATGAAACGCGTACTTATTTATTAGCGCTTATTTATCACTCACGTCTATTCATTATTTCGCTCATGTTACAAAAACTAAAAGATATTATATATAAGAGCGTTATTTTTTGTGTGCCAATATGTTTTACGCGAGATAAAAGAGAGTTAATTGAAGTCTTATATATATATATGAAATTATCCTACTTGTTCTCTCGCGCGGTGACTCTCGCTTTCAAATAAATCAAATGAAACATCTCGGAGCTTTCATTTCGTTACAAGAACAAATGACCAGGGCGCGGGATGGGCGAATCCTGGCTCTCGGTCTTACTCGCTGCCACGCTGACAACGATGACGATGACAGCGGTAACGAAAGCCGATCATCCATCTTCGACGCCGTCGCTGTCGACGATCGCTCGTGACGATATCATCGATTCCAAACGGGTTTGTTTCTCGATCGATCTTTTCTTTCATTTCACTTAGGTGATTCATTTTCTTATATATCGCGCCCTTTAATCGCTTCGTTATCTCAAAGGCGGCCATCGAGGAAGCGCTGGACGTGATAGAGGCTGCATCGACGGGTTCCCTGGGCGAGGTGTGCGTACCTTCCGCGGGATTTAAATCACTTCCGGTTGGTGTCGCCCTGGATTCCAGACGTTATGACACGGCACGTCAGAAGACCGACATGACCGCGATGATGCTCCAAAATCTCGGGGCTGCAGAGGCGATGCGACGTAACGGTGAGCTAGAACGTATTTATGAAGATAGGTTCCTGATAAGAAAACATTGTTTGCATTCTTCGGAGAGATAAAATATTTGGCGAGTATACTTAATTGAAAAATGATCTCGTATTTAACTGCTCGAGAAAGTGTATTTCAAATAATCGTAAATAAGAAAATGAGAAGTCTCTCTAACGAGATATTCAGGGTACCGCAGACTTCTTGTACCACTCATTAATGGGAGATTCTTCAGGCGATTTGGAGACGATTTTTTCTCTACGAAAAAATCCAGGCACCAATAATTTTTGAGTTATAAACGATTGAAAATAAAAGCTTTTTGTAAACTAACAATAAGCCTTGTGAAAATAAATTCTTATCAAAAACTACATTTTTAATTTCAGGTAAAATTTACTTTCATAGAATTTTAATTTAAGGCTTAGTTATAAAGATATATGATATCAACAATTGGGAACATTCAAACAATGACTTTTCTTACACATTGAAGGAAAAATTGTTCCCAAATAACTATAAGACTCTCCCATAAACGGATGGTACGGTAAGGTTGGGACACCCTGTATAATGATTCGGAATTAGTGTCGGATTTATTCGATCTATAGTTTTCTACCTGGCACTGAATTGGCATCTATGGCACCTGTTGCGCGCGTAGCTAGCAACGCGCGCGCCGAAAGTCAATCACGTCGAACGCGGTGACAAGGGAACACGCGGTCGAATAATGCGGACTCGCGGCAGCTCTTTTAGATGCCCTGACGAAGTCGCTGCTCGTGTCGGTGGACGACGCTCTCGAAGCGAGGGTGATCGCGCTGAACGCCTCCACCGGCACGGTGATCACCTCGGTCTGGCTGAAGCGCAGCCCTGGAAGCGTAGGCGAACCCTCCAAGGTCGAGAGTCACGCGCTACAACCTGGATCGCAGCCGGACTCCAATAATTTACCCTGGTTCGAGAGCGCGGGCAGCAGTGCCGAATTAAGGTTCGACGCGTCGACTATCTCTCGACTATATTTCGTCTGCAGATTTTCCGAAAATCTTCTCTGTCGAACAGTGTTACATAATAGTCCAATATTGGTGGTACAATCGGAAAGAGATGATTCTATACAAAGAGATAAATTGAAAAAAAAGGATAAAGCGAAAAGGTTTTTTTTAGATAAAAGAATTTTAATATTTTTTTACTTCTTTAAATAAATAATAGAAATTAATTTAAGTTGTTATATATTTTTTAATAGTCGAATGTTGAGTCGAATTATTTATGATATAATTGTGGCATAATAGGAAAAAGCAACTTTTTAATTTTTAAATTCTGGTTTTTTCTCGATTTTAAAAAGAGAGTTTCTTTTTATAAAAAAAATTATTTTGCCTTTTTTTAGATATTTTTTTGCATAGAATCATCTCCTTCTTGCATCCCTGATGACGGACCACGCTATATTTCTTCAAATAAATGTTATTATGCACGCACGCACGCACATGCACCTTTACGCAGCTCTGTTTCGCACCCTATCGTTCATGCTTCACGTTGCCTTTCTCTTCTAGTAATGTCTCGTTTATCGGAGTGAATTATAGAAACGAGAAGTTTCCTGAGAAAAAGATCAATTTTATTAAGAATTCTCTCAAAACAAGAGTTACGCAAATATGCTTTTCTTGAAAATTTAAAAAATTTTAAAAATTGAATAAAGAGAAGAATTAATTTTATGATTTACATAATATAATTTATAATATAATTTATAATATTAATTATGATATAAATTTAATTTATATTATAATTATAATATAAATTATATTATAATTATAAAATAAATTATATTATAATTATAATATAAATTATATTATAATTTATGTAAATGAATTTACTTATGTATTTTGTTCGAAAAATGCTAATTAAATGTCCAGCTAATTAATAGTAGACAGATCCGTATATTCGAGACGATTCTCCGTAAAAGAACTTGTACAGGCGCTCCACGATCATTCATCATCCTTCATCATCCCGTATGTGCGTCATAGAAACTCGATATTCGCGAACGAGATATAAATTTCCAAAGACTTTCGTAAGAATGAATGGCGATAATGATAATCGGGATGACCGTGAAGTGCCGGGCGAAGTGACTCGTTGCACGAAACACACGTGTTCACCAAGAGATATCGAAGTTTCTACGGCGGCTTGTGGCGTTTGCGTGTGATCCCAGGTCACCGAAATTCATGCAGTCACCGCCGATTGAATCCTACAGGGGTTGGTGGACCATCCCGTACTTCTCTTGCCAGACTCGCCGCTGGCTCATCTCGTACAGCGTCAATGTCAAGTCGCCGGATGTTCATCCCGGGTTAGTATGACAGCTCACTTTCCTGATAATTCCACGTCCAAAATTAGCGCACAAGATATTTTTGAATATCATAAGATTTCTTAAAGATATCTTTTGGATATCATATTATAAAACTTCTTAAAGATGTTTTATGCGAAAATTTTGAACATGGTGCTGTCTGAGTTATCTATGACGACCTTGAGGACTTTGCAGTGGTAATCCGTGTTATAATCCTTGGCATTTCATTAAAGGGTGCGAGAATTCATCAGCATAGATATTGATATAAGCGGCTTGGAGGTCAACCAATGCGACGTATCGCCGCAAAATCGCAATGACGAGCTCGAAAATCTCTCCAGCAATCAAATAGCCTTCTTCAGGGGCACCCACAAGTGTCATACCGACACTACGCAAGTAAATGCGTCAAGTATCTTGCTTTGCGAAATTTGCGTAGAGAAGGAAATAATATCTTATGAAAAATATATCTTATAAAAATATATCTTGTAATAGTCTCTCACATTTTTTTGTTCTTCAGTGCGTGTATCAGGGTCCTGGCAGCCGAGTGAACGAAAATGGAGTGGGTGCTGGTTGGGCGAAAGGCGCATACGTGTGTAAATGTCGACAAGGCTTTTACAGTACTACCCATTATCGGACGGGTTTCGACGGGATTCTCGTGGAAGGTCAGGATCAGCTATTCTTTTTTGATTTTATGTTATTCGTAATCCTCTTTTCCTTTTTCCCGTATGTATATTTGTTATAGCCGCGTGGAAGGAAATGGAAGAGAATAAGAGCGACTCTTATGAGAGGGTATTTCGATGTCTGCGCTGTGCACCAGGATGTGCCAGATGCAAAGGCCCCGAGCTTTGCCTGGCAACATACAATTGGCCCTTTAGGTATTTTTTTTTTCAGCTCCGCTCTATTCGAACTGTTGACGTCCTTATTTCAATTGTCTTATTATTTTTCAAGAATCACGCTGCTGGCTGTTTCAATTTTTTGTGCGTTTGGCACCATCGTCCTGGTAGCCTATATGTACCAGCACCGTAAACTGAAAGTATTCAAGGTTGCTTCGCCAATATTCCTATCCATCACGCTCCTGGGCTGCGCCTTGATGTATCTCGAGGTAGGTGAAGAGAGAGACGCTTTAATTAAAATTCCGTCGAGTATTAATTTGAGATCTTCGTAGATGGCCGCTATATTCCCGGTTCTCGATATGTATTCCTGCATCGCCACAAAGTGGACAAGGCATATGGGTTTCTGCGTTTCGTATACGGCGTTGTTAATGAAAACTTGGCGGTAAAATAATTATTATAAATTGATATCGTGATTATTATAAATAATTATGATTAGTTATCATTGTAGTGATTATTCCAAAATTATTAGATATAGATATAGATATAATTATTAGATATAGAATAAAATTATTTATTATAATCATGATTATAAATAAACACATTACATCGTAGTGCTGAAAATACGAGTGAACCGAGTCACGCGATATTAACTTTAAAGGAAAACGAGATGAATGAGATAATGAAGCGATTATTAATCTCAAAGTATAACATAATGATCTTTTTTTTCCAAGAAAATTAGATGTTGTAATAAGCACTGTTCTTCAGGATCTGCTTGTACCTTCAGCGCTTCAATTTCACCTTATATATTTCGCAGTTAGCGGAAACAACATTTATATGTCCGACACTTTTATCCGTAGAGTTTCGCTCACGTATCGGGTGAAGAGTGCCCATAAAGTTAAACTGACGGACAAACAGTTGTTGCAATGGATGGTGCCTATACTGTTAGTGATGTTGATTTTTCTCGGAACGTGGACTGTCAGTTCGCCGCCTTACGCGGAAGTAATTACGGATAATCACGACTTGAAGTTTTATCAGTGTTCGTATAACTGGTGGGATCACAGCCTGGCTATCGGTAAATATAAAAAAGAGGAGGAAGAAAAAATTGGCATAATCTATGAATTAATTTGCATCTAATTGATAATCCCTTAATAAACTCGGACAGGTGAAATTCTGTTTCTCGCCTGGGGCATTAAGGTGTGTTACAACGTGCGAAACGCGGAGAGTCTGTTTAACGAGGCCCGTTTGATAAGTTACGCCATTTACAATATAGCTGCAGTGAACATAACGATGATAGCCATTCAGTACGTAATTACATATATTATTACATACAAACGCGAATTGCCGGAAAATGCATATCATGTCGGATGACGTTTATCTCTGCAGCCTCTTCATATTTCCGCGTGCCGGGCCGGATATCAAATATCTGCTAGGCTTCCTGCGGACTCAACTCTCGACGTCTGTTACGGTCTTCCTTGTATTCGGCCCTAAAGTAAGACAATTATTACGAAAAACAATGAGATTAATAACTGTAGCGACAATATATTGATTTATATCAGTTCTATATGATTTTATAATCATTTTCGTCTCTTCCGGATCGATCTTTTCGATATCTATTTTGGCCTTTATTATACAATGGTAAATATAGCATTGGTATTATAATTTGAATTCGTGTTTAAGGCGATCACAGAGGTTTCATAGATTAATTTTATAATAATTTTCGCATCTTCCAAATCGATCTTTTCAACATCTATTTTGGTTTTTATAGCATTGGTATCATAATTTCAATTCGTGTTTAAGGTGATCAGAGTGTTGCGAGGCCAGGGAGATCAGTGGGACAGTCGAGCGAGAGCGCGAGGTGTGACCGCGAGCTTCTCTTTAAATGGGATCGGTTTGGTACCAGAAGAGACGACGGATTTATACCAAGAAAATGAAGAGCTTAAGGTTCGCATAATTCATTTGATATAATTCAGCATCTTTATATACAACGCCAGCGAACGGAAACGAATCGAAGCGACTTTTCGTTTCATCTTTGAAATTCTACGCCCAGGAGGAGATCCAAAAATTGGCCGCGCGAATCGAATTTATGAAGATAGTGCACATGGAGGTGCACAACAGGCACCTCAAGCCAAAGATGGGTGGTTACTTCAGCACTCACGGTCACGGTCACGGGCATCCATCCACCGGGCAGAGTCCCATCGCCAAGAGTTCGACAGCCAGTTTTATCCTCAAAGTATGTATCTAAATCGTTCTATCAAATTTCTTTCACTTCAATTAACCCTAGTATACGTGCACAGCATTTTCAAAATTAAATTCAAAATAAAAATTCAGCTTTTGTCGTGCTTCCTCTGAAATCCGCTTCGATTGAAAAATCACGTGTGAAAATAAACATCAATTTTTATATTCTTGTTCAATTTTTATTTGGCCTATCCTCAGCGTTCATAAAAAAATCCACATGTCCTACATTTCTTACGAGGTAGTAGGACGGGGATGCGCGCAATAATGGCGTATGCTAAGGTTAACGCGAAAGTCGATGATGACTTTTGCATCGACTCGTCTCCTCGAGTCCGCCGGAAGAGCGTTTTGGAAATAAATTGGAGTAATTTATTGAGCAGACGGCTGTGGAGCGAGGTGCAACGGCAGCCGCAGCCGCGGCAGTCGAGGATTCGACCTTCCCGTCCGGAAGTCTGCACAGAGCCCGAAGGATGGAGATGTTGAGGGAGAGGAAAGCGGAAAGGGAACGGGAACGTGAAAAGGAGCGAAACAAGGACAAGGAGCAGAAGGAGAAATCGCGAGAATCGGGCGGCGAGAAGGTTTGACTAGTGATCAATAGCGAGGAGGTAATTAACTCGTCTCTCATTTAAGGCTGTATGGGAGACATCTAAAAATGGTACAAATTTATTAAAATTATATACATATATGGCTTTTCATTAATTCATTTAAAAATTGTAATTTAAATTTCTGCTTGTTTATATTATAAAATGAAGAGCGTTGATACTTTTGTCTCCGATTGTGTCTCCCATACATCCTTAATTTTGGCTTTTTCACTAATTTTTCTAAGTCTTTTCTTCCCTTCGATAGGTGTGGTTGTGACGAAGACAGTGTTCCGACGAAAGCGAGAAAACGAAAAAAATCTTATATCCAAGGAAGAGGAGGAGGAAGAAAAAATTGGAAAAATTCAGGTTGTATCCTCTAAAGGACAGGAGACTGCCCGTATTTGTATAAAACGCCATATAATCAAAATACCATCGCGTTCACTGTCTTCGCGCCATTGTGATAGCGATATCTTGTGGTCATTACTCTAGATGTACAATATATACATATATCTTGAAATTATAAAATCTCTATCGAATCGAACGCACGAAAAAAAGCGAAAGGCGACATGGCATATATTGTTATATATTAAATTTCAACAATATTTTCTCTTTCCGATATAAAAAATATTCTGGAAACGTAAAAGGGATGTCAGCGCGCCAAATTGTATTTATGCAAAATAGATGTGTTTCGTTGAAAATTATTAGACGGGGCAGAAACGAAAAAGAAAACTGACAAAATACCGAGCTGTCACAAATGCACAAAGAATGCACAGGCGACTCGTCGTCGCTTCAACGGTACAATTTCGCTTTTCGCAAGTGTGATGTGTCGCTTCGTCGCGAGCATTCGATAGAATTGTAATTTAAAAAAAAAAAAAAAAAAAAAAAACGCGCGTGTGTTCTTAAGTTTCCCTTATTGGAAAAAATCGTTTACGTCCGTTTTGCGCGCGCGCGCTTTTGCCAAAAGCACAGAATCGCTGAGATCTTCCTCGATATTATAAGGACAAAGCGGGAGGACAGAGGAATCCCTTCTCTTAAATGTTACATAAGCGTCGTGTTCTCGGGTTTTAAAATAGCACCGTTTCTCAGGCAACTTTATCATGCCGGAGTATAAGAAACATCTCGTCTAACTCTCGAAAGATATACAAATACCACAGTTTGAATGTAAATGTTAATTTAAGCGGTAATAATATATTATATATATATATATTATATATATAATACGAGTAAAATAGGCGCGTACTTTTCCGACACTTGGACACTCGACAGGCTTGACCAATAAGTGATGAATGTACGGGATTTCTTTCCTTAATTTCATCTACGAATCATGTATTCGATGCGAGATGTAACTCTTCTTCGTGATCTTCATTGCTCTCTCATTTATATTACTCTTCTTATTTTATTTAATTTGAAACACATTTCGCTCTCGTTTTCATAGTGATTTCAAGCATAGAGTTGCATTTAAAATTGCAAACAACCGAGCGATAACTATTCGTAACAAAGATTGTATAAATGTTAACACATAAATGTGACAATAAAGTTGCACAGCGGGCTGTAAAAGAGTATCAACTTTGCTGACGATCGTAAAAGTGCTCGTCTGCGGCTCGTATAAGAAGAAGAAGAAGAAGAAGAGCTAAATCAAAACGAGAAGAGAGCTAAAAAGAATGTTAGAGATTTATAGGAAAAAAATTGTGCGGTAAAGCGATTAATGAGACCTTTGCCTTGTTGGTTTACACTTTTTTAAGAGCTTACGTTTTCACGATAGAATGCTGTTATTGTAGATCGCGTAAAGTCGTGTGTTGACAACGACCGACAGATTATGCTGTTCGTGTCTAAGATATTTATCGTTAGTAATACCGTTGTTGTTGAATATATGTGACTGGATGGAATGGAGATGATGAGTGACGCAAATAATGCGCGTGCGTTAATTAATTACAAGTACAACGTAGGTATATATTCGACTGATGAAAAATTTTGGTTGAATTAGTGAAAGCTCTGCGCGAGACTCACATTGTGAATCGTATGGATCGGTTATTTCCTTATTGCAAACGTCACATTGCGACATTCTTATCTTGAAAATGCAAAACGACTCTTCACAATCCGTTTAATTAACGATGAACTTTGAACAATAGTCGTTTCCGTTTTATTGGAATAATTTTCAGAGTAGATATATATGTATGTACATCCACTCCGTTTTATCGGAATAATTTTCAATAGAATTATATTTAGTCGCGCGAATATATATATATATATATATTTGCACGACGTAGATATAAATTTTAATGATTTTTTTGCACACTTTTGCGTTTTATTCAAATACGTTAAGGACATACGAAAGTATCGATTCGCCGAGCGGATTGTCAATTGGTAAGTAAACGCGATGAGTCAATTTCGAGGATCATCACGAATCGCACGGAAGCTTGACCTCGAGCCGGAAATCGATTCATTGGAGAAAGAGAGAGAGAGAGAGAGAGAGAGAGAACGCGTGTCGCGTATAGGATAATATACATATGTATATCCACAAGAAGATTTTCACACACATAACATTCACGTTTCTCCGATTAAGTACAAATGACAACATTGACAACGCGATAACGATCCCGTTGCGTTGCCTTATGTGCGCTCGATGTAAATCGTAAAATGCGCTATATAGCTTGTGTGACGCGCGCGATTAATAGCTCGTGATAATAGATCGTAAGAGATGAATCTGCTTTCGGTGTTGTGTGAAAAATCCGCTTTGTTTACAAGTGAGAGGAAAGAAAGGCAGAGAGCGACTAGTCTTCGCGAATTCGAGCCATGTAAGAGACCCTATCTGTAAACAGCGTTATTTTTTCGATATAAAGGAGACGAGAGGCTTACGATCGGATAAATCAAATATAAATCAAGTATCAAGCGCAAATGCGAGAGAAAAAATTCCCATCCCTGCCCCGCCGAACAAATAAAAAAAAACATATGTAGAACCGGACACATATTTGTAAAAAGATATACTGTGTATGTCAGTGAATACAATAACCTTGGAGGCTAATAATGTAATAATGAGAGTGAGAGACAAATTTTCTTCTCCCGTTTCTTCTCCCCTTTTTTCAGAGCACGATGGTGGCGATTTCTTTTTTAAGCGGAAAGGTTTCTCTCTTTTGCTCGCTTGAAAATTTATTTTGTTCATTTATTTATTTACACGCGCTACACACTATATAGAATGTAAGATATGAACCTTTCGCCGCGCTCGCTCGACACAGCGACCAAGGGTGTTTGGTATCACCGGAAATATTTTGTAATTGCACATTGCCAAGGGGAAACAGATAGAGAGACGCGGATGATGAACAGTGATCTCTCCGCGAGATCGAGCAACAGCCATTCAACAAAACAGAATGCACAATATTTTGTACAACCAACAACCAAATACAACAATTATATAACTAATTGCAAGAACATTGACACCACACATGCTTTGTCGACGTACAAACGCGAATAATGATTAAAAATTCGGACTAAATTCGCGAATGTCCGTAAATATAGGAGGACGAGATGTCATCGAGACGTCGTCGGCATTGCACATAAAAATTGTAAGCTCTACGAAAAAAAAGAAAAAAATTATCGCTACATGTGTCCCGAATCTATAAACGAATCGTAAGGAACCCTAGGCCCATTCGTTTACGTTAAGGATGCGCGGATACTCACGACGTTCTTCAAATCAGGCCGGATGTGACTCGAATCTTTTCGATACCACGATCAATTTCATCGGATTACTCAGAATGAAACAATTATTCTAATCATTTCTCGACTGTTTTTCAGATTTCAGTTTTATATATAATGGATTTTATATATATTTTATTTATATATAAACAATATATATACAATCTCTATTATATGTCTCAAGCTAAAACTGCTCTCTTAAAATGAGGAGGAAATCCGATAAAATTATGTATTTCGATAAAATTCAAGTGAGATATCGAGCACTCTCGAGATGCCTCGAGTATCCAAAGAGTTTCAAAATTCAGTATCAAATTTGATTCGATTCAAAGATGTCCGAATCGAATATGTGTTTCATGCAGGAAAATTTCGCGAATACTCGCGAGCACTCGCACATCCCTGATTTATGCCGTCACGTGACGTAGAGTATCGTAACGCGTATTAGTCTAATATTTGGACATTTTTGTACTTGACGTATTTATATAATCGCGCGTATGACAAAATATTACTACGTAGGCATGACTCACACTGTATCAGACACCATTGTGTAATACGCTATGGCTATTACGCTATCAAGTTACGCGCTTAAACGTCAGATTTTACGTTAAGAGATACTCATTCATGCGCTACTTCGTACACCCTTTCACCCTCTCTTTCATTATTGTAAAGATACTTATGTATCTATCCTTATATCATCATTGAATCGAGTTGGCTATCAATTGGCAGATCGTATGGATTTTATTGGAAATTTTCTTAATTTTCTTAAATGTGTATCTCAGACGATGATGCAGGCGAGAAACCGAGATTGTTTACAGTGAAAGTCAGGCCGCCATTCTTCACGCGTACATTATATTTGGTCGGGTTAATAGAGCGCATAATATCCCTTGATTCTTATCTTTGATACTAGCAATCAGTGACGATGCAGTCGAGTCGATTAGATTAATCGATTTCCTCGACCCTCGTTTACGCCGTTCTAGATTCTTTGGAGGCTCGTGCGCTTTGGTAGTAACGTTAGTAGTCGATATCTCAGGTACTTACGTTAAACAATTCGCAGTAACAGCGACGCGAGTCGTTCTCGTGATTCTTTTTGCATACTTCTATATACGAATATAACCGATCGAAACGAGGAGAGGAATTTCTTTGATAATTCCCATTGAATCGAAATATACCCGAGGAAAAGGATACCATGACCTTTCGCAGAAGCTCGATAGATTTCTTCATTCGTTTCACCGCGTTGCGTTGATCTCTATTCACGCGACGCGATGCGCTTTGTGTATAGAAAAATATGTTTTACGAATATTTAAACTCCAGATTGCGGGAAAAAGATTCTATTAAACAATATCCTGGCCGTTCTCGACCTGGCAACCATGGTTATCCTTTTCCCTGTGGGAATCGTCCTCGTCTCGATGCGTTTCCTTCTTCTTGCCGTCATCCGCGGCGTTCCCAGCGTTTTCGCTCTTATTCGTTGAATTCGCGGAATGCGACTTATTCAATAGCGAGCTAAATTCACCGAACTTGAGAATCTCTTCCATCGCGGATTGTTCCAAATTCACCTGAAATACAGTTGTATCTGATTATAAAGTTACCCAGATAGCAAGTATACGTCGAATGACATCATTTTGACGTTTGATGACGTCAATTTGCTACTTCCCGGACAGCACCATGTCAAAAAGTTGGTGCATAAGACAGCTTTAAGATGTCTTTGGGATATCATATCGTAAGATTTCTTAATGATGTCTCATGCATCAACTTTGGACATGATGCTATCCGGGTTGAGTATCCAATTTTCAAAATAATTCCTCTAGTTAGTACTACCTTACGCGGTCTACCGCGTTTGCCCTTCCCCGGTAACGAGGTTACAGTCTGGCTGCTACTTTTCCTCTTCGGCCACTGCAAGTGCGAATCCAGATGTTGCTTTAGCTTATCCTGTCTGGCGAACATTCGGGGACAGATATTACAGGCGAACGGTCTCTCGCCTGTATGCACCCTTCTGTGTCTCGCCAAGTGCGAGGCTCTCGTGAAGGCTAAGGTGCAAAGGTCGCAAGAGAAGGGTTTATGCTGCGTTCTTTCGGACTTGCTGGGTATCCTCGCCTCCTTTCCCTCGTTTCCTCTCTTCAACATCTCGAGCTTTCTCTTTACTCCCGTCTTTGGCGACTCCTCCGAACCTTTCGAGGTTTCCTACCGGCAAATTTACAATATATACCGTTTTGAAAACATCTCGCGATTACAAGAAAGACAAACAAGTGTTATTTTAGATTATTGTATAAAAGAGATGTCGGAAAAAAAGAAAGTGAGTTCTCGACGATAAAATAATGCTCTCACCTGTATTGCACCCGACATCGCGATGTCCGTGGATCCGTCATTGAAATTCGGCTCGAGTTTGACGACTCTCGAGGAATCTTCGTAACTGGACTCTCGCGAGGAGTCTTTTGATCTCGATTCCGAAGGGTCGCTGTTCCGTGTCACGCGACCCACAGCTACCCTCTTTTGCCCTTTGAATCTAGTTTCCCGCTTGTACATCGGTGGTGGTATACGTCTCTGAAAATCATAATATATATTCACATATCGAAAGAAAGAGAATGTGTGCGCGACAGAGAATGGAGGAGATAATTGCCTCTTGAGTTAATTGAAATCGACGGAGGTGAGTGCAAAGGACAAATAGAATAAAATGAATAAAAGAGCGAAGCCACCTCATGCAATATTTTCTTAACTTACAATTTGCGTTTCCGTGGATCGCGGAAGCTCGTCGAAACTGTCCTCGTGGCCATCGATTACCATCGGGTCGTCCTCCACTTCGATGTCCTCGACTTTAATATGGTCTTCTATAGAATCAACGGTCGAGTGCTTCGGCAGAAAAGGAATCACCGATGGATCCTTGATATATTCGGTAGTGTGTACTCTGGTTTCGATATGGCATCGTTGCATCCGCGTCTCGACCCTCGTGTAAAGATTACGGCTGCTCTCCTGAGTCTTCTGTTCCCCGGAGAGACCGCGAATCTCCAAGTCCGTCGCAGTTTTTATCAACGAAGGTAGATGCTCCTCCGCTACGTCGATGGATCCTCTGTACATGAAGTCCAAGAGACACTCCATCTCTTCCACGGCGACTCCTGGACGTTAAAATACATCAAATGCAGAGTTGCATATATGATTTTTTCAAATATGTGTTAATTTAAAAATTTGCAAAATAAATTACCAGGATTGAGATTTTAAAAAATTTTATATAACAATTTTTATATTTTACTTGTAAATTTTACGTACGAGACACCTTGTATAAAAAATTCGAAAAATCTCGATCCCAGCGATTTGGTTTGCAAAATCAAGTTTTTTTTCGCAACGTCAGTAAACTTTTTAATTCGCTCGAAAATATGTAGCTGTGTATACCTTTTAAAATGAGGATGGGCTGTTCCCCATAATGTTCCTTGAAGACTCTTTCGAAGTAAGGGCTACATGCTGCCAGAACCAGTCTGTGAGCCCTCAACATGCCACCCTGACAAGCCAATGTCGCGTCTGTCAACGAGCCGCTCTTGTAAAGAGCCTCGAACAAACCTGACAGATTCGCCAGGTGATTGTTCCACGTGAGATTGAACGTCTTCTCGCCCATTCTTTTATCGAGTATTATCAAGTCCCTAAAAATAAAATAGTATACACGAAACAATTATTCGTAATTGTATATAAAATAAATATGCATATTAAATATCACGGAAAATAATTATAAACGTTGAGAATTCAAGATTTGTAACTTTGTGTTGTTCTACAAGTATTTTAATTTTATTTTAATTAATTCCAATTTTTTTGCATTTTTTTCTCTGGGAGATTCGCGGAAAAACAAATCATATATTTTTCTCGCTTAGAAAAGCACATTAAAATATATGTCCCGATCGGTGTTTGCTGTTAACTGAATATAATTATATAGATGATCATTTATATTAAATATTGGCGTTATCTTATCCTTATAGATAATAAAAATATGTATTATTTGTATCTGCATCTTAGATGAAAAAGTGTCACCTTTATTAAATCTTTATTGTCTATAATAACGTTTATATATATAGATAATTTGGTTTAGAATCACAGTACATAAAAATACTTGAATATTTTTATCAAGTAGCAGAACTTGAGCGATAAAAATTTATAAATAAAAATTTAAATATATCTTTTATATCCCTTATATAATTTACATTTTTATAACTGTGTTCACATAACCGGTCTGAAAAATATTATCTAAAAGTTATCTAAACGAATCGCCATATAATTTTATCTCTGATCTAGGTATGTTAAAACAAAATCATTCGATCAAAGATAAATTTACATATTTTATCTCATCTTTACCTAGTTAATTTAAAAATCATCCCAGCACAACGCTGCTTCCGATCGAGTAGTAATCAAAAGAGAGCGGGAGGATTTTCTCGGAATGTATAAGTTGCGAATAAATTCGAGTAAATGCGCAGCGTATCGCAACGGCAGATGATAGGTAGCACTCGGTTTATTAATCGTGCACACGCGGAATATTAATACCGCCTTCCGCAATCATAAGTTGCATCATAAGTGAAATAATCGCGATCGTGGGTCGCGTGTAGTCGCTCGGCGCGGCGAGTCGCGTCGTTTTAATTGACACGTTCCGCACAATTATTCCGATCTCCGTAACGCGGATGCATTATACACTCTCGACGAATAACATTGCACACTCTCGACTACTCGCTCTCCGCGTCTCGTCATCGATCGTGCATCGCGGAACTCGTTTATAGCCGCTCGTGGAATGTCATTAAATCGCGACTACTCCGATATTTCGGAGCTCTGCACGTAAAGTTGACATCGCGCGCGAGCTCACCTTAGGAAAGAGGGAATGTACTTCCGTGATGAATCTCCCGGTCGAATTTTCGTTTTTCGCTCCGAAGAATCCCCTTTGTTCGATCTCTCGTAAACATATATGCGTGCTCTCTGCGAATGTGTGTCCCCGCGCTCGTCTCGGGATTATTCTTGCGAATCGAGGATAAGAACGTTGTTGATAAACTCGCGGGGCTGGAGAGAGTACATGACACAATGTTCGAGGAAGGTTCTCCAAAAGGGCCACGACGTGTGCGTACGCGTGTATGCGTGTATGTACGACTAGGCTCTAAACGGAGACGGATGATAGTCATGCGCAGACGTGAACCCTCGCATTGCCTCGATCCATAATTTTGTTGGTGGACCCCCCACGCGCATTTCCAAGGGATTCCCGTTTCCGTGCGGGAATTGCGCCAAACGCACCCTTTTTTTCCCCGAAAGCACCCCGAGGCTCCGGATGTGACCGCGACTTCGAAATTGATACGCTTTCGCGAAGCGAGGACCATTTTTCCCCCTTTTTCAGTTCGTCGAAATAAGACGCGGGCGAGACTTCGCGGAATTTACGCTACGCGGAAATCTTAGGCGAACGGAAGGAAATGAGAGAGGGAGAGAAAGAGAGATTAAGTCGACACCGAGAGAGAAATCACGCGCGCGTATAGTTTCTCTTGATACAGATACACCTTTCGCGCAGCGTAAAATAGTTTCGACATTTCGACCTTGAGCATTTTCCTACCGAGTTCGCGTAAGCTAAAAAATCCATTGCAAAAATCACCAAAGTCAGAAGGGAGAAACTCACGAGAGTGACGCTGATAGGGAGACGACAGTCGCTCACGTGCAACTTTGCATTCGCGAGGGGACCAAAAGGCGCAAAGTGACAAAAAGCAGAAGACACGTGACTAACGCGTCCAGGAATGCGCGAGTTCAGTGCGAACAGAAAGAGAGAGAAGGACGCCGCGCAGCGTCGCGTCGCCTCGCGTCGCGTCGCGTCATCGCGCCGGTGCCCCTCTCACTCTCTCTCTCTCTCTCTCTCTCTCTCTCTCTCTCTCTCTCTCTCTCTCTCTCTCTCTCGAGCTCTATTAATATCCGCGCCTCGACGTCGACGTCGTGCCTCGGAAACGCGTTCCGAGGGAAACGCGAAGATCGAAGACGCGGAGGCTTACCTCTGTCCGTTCTATCCCGGAGCAATTTTCTCGCGATCGACGTCGAAAGTTCCGAGGAATCGGCCACCCCCGGCTGCTGCCACCGATTTGGTGCGTTCCCCGATGGCCTCCCCCAGGTAGCGGACGGTGGAGCCGAATAGAGACGATGTAATAGGCTTTTTTTCTGGAGGGCCGAATATTTCTATGTCTCGAGACTGGTGTACAGATCTCGCAAAATGTATATTCGAAATATGTATAATATATATTATAGATTAACAAGAGAGGGGCACACGAACGGTGTAACGACGTGCTGGGGCTCCCTCGACCGACTCGCGACTGATATCATTTCCAGCGGGGGACTGTAGGGTCGGCAGCCAGAACCCCACCAGGGGGTCTTCGTGCAACCCCCACGCGGTGTCGTAGTAGTCGTGCACATCGTCAACGTCGTCGTCGTCGTCGTGTGCCGGCCTCTCGAAACCCCCCGCGCACGCACACACGCGTACAGACGCTCTCGTACGTGTGTCTGTGCGTGCCACAGGGAGAGTCGTCGTCCGTCTCTCTCCCTCTCCCTTCCCTCGCCCTTCCCCCCCCCTCCCCCCCTCGTTTGCCCTCTTTTTCCCTCTTTCGGGGCCGAGCCCCGATTTCGTCGTCGTTTATCTTTGTCTCTTCAAATCCGGATGGTCTCTCCCGCAGTTGCGTATATATATATATATATATATATCTGTCTCTCTCGCGGGTGCCTTACCAACGCCCGGCGTACCCAGCGACTTTATCCACCCTGAATCCTCGTCTATACAAGGGGTTGCCTCTCGCCAGGCGAAAACAACGCTCCTTTTTCTCTTGAACGCGACGAGGGAGGAGTTATATTTTTTTTTTTTTTTTTTTTTTTTTTACATTATTCCGCACCCCCGCGCGTGTAAGAAGGGGGTTGATTTATTCCGAGATTCGCTCGTAATTTCATAATATCTGTATAAATACAAATGACTATATCGATGTACATATAAATGTAGGTGGCACAAGTCGAAGGACACGAGAGGCGTATCCAGGGACATATTATGTACGTCATGATATATCCGTGCTCGGGGTGTGTCTCACCCCGTCAAGTTTCATCTTCAACGCGTCCTTCAAATGTCATTATTAAATATTATGCGTATTTCTTCGTCAAATTTACGCGATCTTACGTATACGTCATTTCGACGTCGAGTGACGTCATTAAACGTCAAAACGATGTCATTTTGTTACTCGGGTATATTATTCTCGTGTATATATATAATCGTCCCTGTTAAAAATGAAGCACGCTCTTATTTAGAAAATCTTGAAGAGGGAGCGATATAAGATAGAAGGAAATTCGCTGGCGGAAATAAAAGAGCCGTCGAAAAAGGCGAGCCGCTCCTTCCGAGACCTTGGAACATGAAACCGCTCCCGGTATAGTGTCGCAATACGGCAACTGACGTAATCCTCATCGTGCGTAAACGCGCGGTATATTTGCGACCATATCTATGCATTCTGCGACGCGCATTTCATTTCGCGGCAGATGCATCCGACAAGGTCTGCCGGTGCATGTTTTCTTTAACGATCTCGCGCGCTTATCGGGAAATATCGTGGCTTGTTTACGCTACACCGCGAGCATAATTTATGCGGTTTGCACGGAAGAGGGCGGTAAGGGAGAGGTGTAATATGCATCCTGTTGTTAATAAACGAATTGATTTTTCGTATTGCTCCCGACTCTCTCTCTCTCTCTCTCTCCTTCGGTGACCCGGCGAGTCCAGCGAGTCCGGCGACTGATTTGGGGGCAGCGGGCGAATATCGATTCGTTATTTTTAGGGGCAGTCCATCCGCTGTATGGACCCCACCTACCTCGTTCCCGGGGACGGTTCTTCTTAAATGGATATTACCGTGCGTTTGTGTACGCTCGAATATTTGGAATTTCAATTATGCCGTCAATAATAAATTATATATATATATATATCCTCTTTGAGCGAATCGAAAAATAGCGTCTCGTTTTCTATCAATTTTCTTTTTTTTCTTTAAGCGTATATATCATGATATAAATAGTAAAATAAAGTTTTATTTTTTTATAAATAGAATAATATCTAATAAGACAGGATATATATATTTACAGAATATGACGTCGCTTTTGTCGTAGAATTGGGCACAATTATTGTCACAGGAATGTCATCTGGTACGTCGGTATTGAAGAAATCGTTCTTATCTAATGTCGATAATATCCGTACCGTTTTTATCCACTATCGATAATACCTGTACATCTTATCGTACACAAATATTGCGTCAAATATTTCACACATTTTATGTCGAGTTATTACATATATCTTAGTAAAATTGAGTATAAATTTCGCTCTCTGTAATTTTACAACGATAAAAATTTTTTATCACAAGCACAACTGCATTTCATTAATAAACATTACGTGTCGCTAGCGATGTAACGTCACCCTAATGCTTAGAATGAAATATCTAGTTTGTTTTTTATTAATTTAAATTTGACAAACCTGTGTGTGTATTCAAATGCGTTTATTTCTTAAATTAAATATTCGTGTCGTTACGACCAGGTGTATAATCCGTTGAAGAATTTAAAGCTTTCAAAGACCTCTATCCTGGCTGGATCAGGATTACAAAAGTGACTCAATAATTCTTCGTTGAATCCACAATCGCTTAGATTTTCTTGTCCAAACACATTAGGTGGTACTTTCGTGATATTATGATCCTCTTCTTTTGTAACGCTTGTATAACCTGTAACAAAAATACTTGTAAGTAAAGGTTATCGTTGCTATTTGACTTACAAGATTTCATCAATATGTATATTCACATACCTGTACCATGCTTTGCCACAGAAAACGGAGTTGTCGATTCCAGTTGTGCGCAGCTCGCCGAATACTGTTCCAATTGACTAGATGTCATCAAATGACAGAGAGATGGTAACACTTGCGGCAAAAGAGGTCCTTTCAATTCCAAAGAGTAATATCTGTCGTTATCAACACGTACTACACTTTCCCGGACCTTTGTTAAGAAAAGTAAGTATAAAAATTTGTATAATAAAAATGATTAGAAGCTATTTTTTATATAAATTATACCATCGGTCCACAAGATTTTTCCAGGGAGGGACAAGAGATTAAAATGTTTTTTAACTTTTTGTTCTTTCTTAATTTTTTAATTTTAATTTTATTTTTTTTTAAATTAAATATGTAAATAAATTCTAGTGCTCATTCAAAAAGAGCAAATGCTTAATTTTCTAAAGGGGATAAATGCCTCTCTTGTCCTTTCTCTTGCGGATATGTAATCTTGCTACCCATGATTATACAATACCTTAAGTGCTTTTAACGTGGCACCGTGAAAAGCTGTCGGAGCTAAAAGCGTAGGAGGAACACCGGCTAACGCACCGGTCGCCGCGGTAGCAGATTTGCAATTAATTAAAAAGTTAAATAACGCCTGCGTTTCTACGCCTTTTACAAAAACGAGTGATTGCTTCAAATTATCTATTTCACTTTCTTTCTCCAAAGTCATTCTCGTCTGAAACAAAACGTAACATTAGAATAAATTCATATAATACGCAATAAATAATTGTAATATACATATTTATTACCTGTGAATGGTTAATTTTTTTTATTTCTGAATTTTCTACTCCAAGACTTTTGAGCCATGCATCTTGAGTTTCTTCTTCTTCTTCTTCCTCTTCTTCATAATTATTTTGTTGATTTGTTGTATTAGATAAAACATCTGTAGTCGTAGAATCGGAATCTCCTCCATCGGATCGTCTTTTAGAATCTTTCCTTAATGGCATAGAGTATTCTATTTCTGAAAAAGATGAAGGAAAACAATTGATTACACATATAAAGTTTGCTTATATCATTAATAAAATATAAACAGAAATAAACAAAATACTTTACCTTCTTGCTTTAATGATTGACGAAATCCACGTGTAGTAGGTGTGAGAAGAGCATGAATCTCTGACAAACCACAGATACCAGCAGCACGAAACAGTACTGTAAATGTGTTAGCACATACATAAAAGTATGGACATTGTCTTGCTCGCAGCAAATGAAACAATGATCTGAAGCTATCGCACCATTCTCTGTACAATGCATCTTTTGTACATTGATTGTTTGCCAATGATATATTACTTGCAAGACTAGCACTCACTTTGCCCGCAGAGCGAGGAAATAATTCCAACCATGGTAAAGATGGATGCTGCCATATTAAGCAGCATTGATGAAATCTAATCAAAACATTCAACAAACATTATTAAGAGAATTAAAAGAACACAAGTAAATTAGAGTTAATAAAACCAACCTTGCATTTAGACTAGTGTCCAAAGTTGTCTCTTTTTCTCCGATGTCTAGACATCTAACAAATCCTGTAGTACCCGATGCTTCTTCGCTTGTCTTAAGTTTGCCATTCCATGGAAATGGTTTTGGAGACATGAATCTTACTTTAGTTTTTAACGTCCAATCTATAGGAATATACTCTTCTCCCTTTGGAACACTTGCATTAGGAGTCTGATTAATTGATTCCAATTTTGAAAGAACATTGGTAAAAGTTAACGAGTTATTTACAGGTGAGTCTATTGCTTGTTTCTTTTGCTGAACGTCAAGATTTAATAATTCAAACAATGTATTGTCGCTACTGATTTCTAGTCCAGCTGATGTTATATTCTTCTGTTTCTTATACGATTCATTGATTGCAAATGGATTTTTACGTTTCTGAGATATATCCTGCAGTATACGATTGCTGGAATTAAATCCATCTAAATTCCTAGCAGGGCATTGAACCTCCCCACTGTTGATATTTGTTTTATTTATACGCGCTTGAAGTGCTCGTTTCTTTAACTTCATACGATGTAACTGCATCACCTGATCGGGCCGCGTCCATTTCAATGTGCTTGTACTATCTGATTCTGCCATTGTCGTATATAAAATCAATCTTGTCATACGTTGCTGTGTCAAAAGTTTAGAAATATATGAAATAATCGAAAATACAATCAACTTTACGTCGTATAAAATTCTGATTACGTTGTAATAAAATTCTCATACTTACCTAATAATCATTATTAAATGCTACGAAACCTGTAGGTTTTTACTACAAAAATATGATTCGATTGAATTAATCCATTTAAAATTTCTCTATAAAAAGAGAAAAAATACTGCTGTTTATCATTCCTCCATCGTACATTAATATAAATTAATCGTCAAGATGTTAGCTCATATAATTTATTTTTATTTACTAAAAAGAGGTTAAATTGGACCGATTTAAAGCTATGTATGTACTACGCGAAGTTGCGTGACGTTTAACATCTGTCCGCGAAAAGAGGGGGCTACCAATAGCAGCACAACTCGAACGAGTGACTCGATCGCTGTGATTGGTCCGCGCGGTTTCGATACTTCGAGAATCGCAAGTTAGCGCTGACAGTCGACAGTTTCAAATCGTTCGCGAGTCTCGTCGTGTCGAAGTCGCGTTCGTTTCGCTCCGTCCTTTTGTCGCGATTTATTTCGCAAAAGTGAGTCCCGCGCGCGAAAGTTGTCGCGAGTGTTTCTTATAAAGTGTCATACTGTCGCGAAACGTTGTTAAACGTCGCGAGTGATTAATATTTCGCAACGATGTCGCGAATTTCGTTCGTGCACGCGAATCCGGCTCGTCGTATCTCTCCGTCCGGTCGAGTGGCAGCGAAAATTGCTTCGATCAACGTCAAGTATGTATATTCCGCATCAGTATGATTGTTTTTGTATCTGTGTTACTGGAAATAGCATTTCGGCATTGAAATTCTATATCTGACTTGACATATAAGCGCGATGTGGAAAGAAATAAATCTTCACGATAAGTTAATACAAGATGGCGGCGAAAAGTATCTCGTTTTCCGCCAAAAGTGGTGAAGTGTATCTCGTTTCCCGCCAACTATAATTTTCACTACTAGGAGGTGTCGCCACCTTGCGAGGAGGCACGGAAATACAGTATCAAATTTGAATTTATTTGTATAAGATAAATATCTATCTCAGTATTTTGATGGTATATTTCGATATAATTTAATATAATATTCTATATATATTCATAATTTCAGTTATATTTGATGGCAAGGATTAAATAAATCTATTATATATATATAAATTAATTAATTATAAAAACATATTATATATTCATAAGTCTGCTATTTATTTTAATTGCACAGAATAAAATGAGATTGATATATATTTTTAAAAAGGGGAAGAAATAAAACAGCAAGGAATTTAGCTAGAAAAAATAAATCTACTTAGTATTTCATTAGCTCGATTCATATTTTTGATAGAGATATTCATGTGTATATGTGTGTCCATCGATTTATTTATTATAATCAAATATGAGTACTTACCTCACACAAACATGTTTCACATTTGTGTGTGAACATTATATATGTATCTCGCAGCATAAATCTTATTGAACGTAATAAAAATAATATGAATATAAATGCATAATAATATTACATTAATAATATTAAAGCCTCGTTAAGATAATCTATGATTTATGACAAAATTCAGAATAAATATTTATTTATAATTTTGTCGCATAATTGGGAAACATTTGAATAAATAGATCAAGTACATAAATTATTTATATATTATAAGGATGTGTGACAGGAATAAACGCTAATAAAATTATAAATAGCATCTGCATTTTATTCTGAATTTTGTCGCAAATTATAGATTGCAAGATATAATTACAGACTAAACTAGACTTAAAGTAGGTTAAAATGATTAAACGCGAAACAAAGTACAACGTTCGAGCCTTACTTTTATTTCGAAACATCAAAGTTTTCCGACGTCAAAAATTGCAGTCAGCAGCGCATAAATCAATGATAAAATGACCGTTGATTATTATCGTCGATTTATTAAGCATCTCCGCGATGGCGAATGCCTCCCTCTCGAAATTTCTCGATCCGCGTATCGACGATTCAAGTCTGATTCACGCTATAACGCCACAGTTACCGTCAAGATCGAAATTATTATTCGTTCATCTATATGAAAGATTAGACATCGTAAAGATATTTCGCAATGACTGCAAATATACATATTCCGCGATGTTGCTGCAACGTTATCGTTGAAAAATTGCAGGAACGTTGAAATATCCGTATTCGGAACGAATATCGTGTAATATAACATAGAACATAAAGTATGTTGAAATGGCAAAATTATATAGCACAATGTTTTATTGATTCGGCCCGTTTTCCTGACGATGGCTGTACGACTCGTATGAATCAAGCTTATTCGATCGATCCGCGAAATGCGAATCTAAAGCGACGCGTACATTGACAACATCCATTGATCTAAAAATGTCCTCGGGAGTAGGAAAGGAAAGTAGGAAGAATTTGGAGTACTAAAGACTCCGATTTATTATCTTATTCCCATTCTCTCTTTTTTCTCATTCTTTCTCTCTTTCTCTCTTTTTTCTCTCTCGCTCTTTTTATCATACGTGTCCCTCTACTATAGTACTTTTCTCGCACTCGCACATTCTCTCTACATTCTTGTCTTTTTTTGGCACAAAGTCATCCGGCACTAAGTAGCTTAGCGGTGACCAGTAATGGATGCCTTCTTCACCGCGGCCACAATATCGGTATGAAGAAAAACATCGATAGGATGTGCGACAAGCTGCTACCACTTCCGGAGAAACCTTCGACGCCGTTGCTGGCGCCGGAACTTTGAGCGGCCTCGGCTAGTCCTATGAAAATTATATATATTTTCATTGGAAAAACAAATACGAAACTGATTCTGTAAACAGCGGAATCGATTACGCTGAAAATTGATGCACGCACACATACACGCACACCCTGCTCTACGAGATTGTAAATTACATTATGGTAATCAAATTAACACGGTAATTCGCGAGAATAATTCGCTCTACTTACCACCGATAATGGAAACGTGATCTTTTCCACGCGATGTTCTGTCGAAACCGATTTTGATCTCTGAAAATGTATTTAGGACATGTATTTAAGAAATTCAATATGACGAGAAATCGAAAGATCACAGAGATACGCATATTCAAAGACGCGCAAAAACTTACCATATAATCTTAAAGTTCCATCCGCTTTTCCTAGACTATTTGTCGAGACGCATTTATAACTACCGACGTCCTTCTCCGTGAATTTTTTGATTAAAAGCCACATCAGAACCGTGTATCCCGTACGTTCCTCTCGTACGTTATATTTCGGTCTACGCATTACACGAATAAGTTCTCAGAATGTTTTCCGAAAGAAAAATAGAAAGAAAAATGTTGGGCAAGTAGTAAGGAATCTCTATCGAATGAGCGCTTCTAGTGCCATTTCCCATAGGGCACAGAAAGTTTACAGAAGGATTGCAGAAAAATATATTTGCGCAATACTTTTGTAACGTATATGTGTAAAAATTGTATGATATCAATGTTGAAATATCAATCTTTTGTCACGATCAAAAAGCGCAACAATTATTTAATTGACAAATATATATATTTGTAATTAATAAATATACTTTTCGATCTTTATAATTAAATTCAATTTGAAACATTTATTTTTAACTAAATTAATTCTCTTAACAAGAAGATTTAATATCATATTTTGATAATATTTCATAATATTAAATTTGATTGTAATATTTTTATTTCATTGAATTTAAAAAATTCAATGCGTCTTTATGTGGCTGAAAAATTCTGTGCCATATGGATTTTATCGTTACGTCATATCTCGAGCAACGTTATAGCGTGCAATTATTTGTATTAAGAAAGTAACGAGCGATATATCTCACCCCTCCAATAACATTTCGTCTTCCGTGCCTCGTTGATTCTTTACCCAATAATTGATCGTGTTCGGAAACGCTTCGACATAGCACTCTAACTGCACGTCTGTACCCAGAGGTGCACCCAATAGTTGGTTGGGTGCTTTTACGACAGGTGCAACTATGAAAATAAAGCAAGTTTGAAAAACGCAAGCAAACTTTTTTTATCGAATATAGAAAAGAAATTCCAAAATTGATTTCCTTCGAAAAAGAAACAAAAATTTGATTTTTATTCGACGAACACACACATGTCAAAATGAGAAGCTTACGTCTTATTTATTTTTTCATATAATTTTCAAATTAAAACTGGATGCGAATTTTTTTATGTAGAGGAGCTTTCAAACATTGGGATTTCAATACGTTGCAAAATTATTCGAGAAAATAAGTGATAGAAGAAATAAGCTTCTCGTAAAATTTTCGTACGTTTATTAAGTGAGAATAAAGCAAGTTTGAAAAACCGAAGTAAACTTTTTTGGCAAATATACGTATATATACGAAAGAAATTCAAAATTAAATTTCCTTCGAAACGGAAATTTGATTTTTATCCGAGAAACGCGCATTAAAATGAGAAGCTTATGTCGCTAATTTATTTCTTCATACAATTTCCAAATTAAAAATTGCAAAATTATTCGAGAAAATAAAAGATAGAAGAAATAAGCTTCTCGTAAAATTTTTGTGCGTTCATCAAGTGAGATAAAAATTTTAATTTATTTTTCAGAGTGTGCTTTTGGAAATTCTTCTTTTCGGAGCACAATCGCGACGATTCGTGCGACTGTTTTTTAGGTCAATTATAGCGAATTATTTTTCGACATTGGGATTTTAACATGTTTCAAAATTATTAGAAAAATAAATAATACACTGAAAAATAAGCTATATTAATTTCAAATAAATGTGTATTTCAATAGTGTTATTAACACCATTTGTTTGAAACAAATAAATATTTATCTGTTTTGAAAAAGGATTTCTTATATCAAATAAGTATTTTTTCACAGCAAATCAATATTATATTAGTTTAAAACAAATGGCGTTAATGGAATATATATACTGTCACTATTGAATTATATATTTATTTGAAATCAATAGCTATTTTTCAGTGTAAAATTTTCGTGCATTCATCAAGTGAGAATAAAATTTAAATTAATTTTTTCGAAGTGTGCTTTTTGAAATGTTCCTTTTCGGAGCACAATTGCGACGATTCGTGCGACTGTTTTCAGGTCGATTAGCGAATTATTTTCCGAGAAGTGAAGCGAAGCGAATCGAATCGAATTGAATCGGATCGAGCGAGCAAGCGAATTCGGGCTTACAATTCACAGCGAGCGTCACTCGCTTGCTAACTGCTGGCGGCACGTCGTTGCTGGCGATGCAGAGATACGCTCCCATTTGTCGCCTCTCGACACGGTGGAAATGCAGCAGCGAACCGTTGTAGTGGTCGTGCCTCTCGAAAGTGCTACCACCTGCGTACACGGGAGAAACGTTTTATCAAAAAGGAAACGCGAGAGAAATAAAAGAAAAACACCGCGATCGATCGCGATCCCTCTTGTTCTTGGCTTTCCGCTCTCTTTTCGAACGGAAATAACCGAGTCATGATTGCGTGGGATTTTGATTATTCTATTTCCCGATTACAATACCCGAGAGAAAATTAAAACAAAAGACAAAGTAATAGTTAAAAGATCGGAAACATACGAATCAAACGCAGACTACGGAATGCGAAAATATATATTTAATTCTCTTCGACTTTCTCGCTACGTAGACTTTAAAAGTTCGTTGAATTTCTCATAAGAAGAGCGCGCTCGTCGTGTCAAAAGTAAAAAGCCCGTGGATAAGAAATACTCGCACAATTACGCTCACGTGCTATGGATACGTATGAATAAAATAGTTATAGTTGATTAATTTGGTAATTATTTATACATGCATATAATTAATTACCAGATTAATTTCTCTCCCGTTCTCTTTCTGTTTACACACATATATATGTACAGAGTGTATCTAAATAAGTGCGAAAAATTTTAGGAGATAATTCTTTATCGAAAATTAAGAGGGGACTTCTTATATAATCATATATTCTTATATCTCTCCCTTAGGAGTTACACTTTTCTAAAGAGGGAGGTAAAAATTAAGTTTTTATTTTTTTCTCAAATTTCAGACATAAAATGAAACGGAAAATATCCACCAATTTCATTTTTTCATTTGTCTGAAATTTGAGGGAAAAAAATAAAAACTTTCCACCTCTCTCTTTAGAAAAGTGTAACTCCTCAGGGAAGAATATAAGAGAGTACATGTTTATATAAGAAACCTCCCTTAATTTTCGATAAAGAATCATCTCCTAAAATTTTTCGCACTTATTAAGATACAGCCTGTATAAAATAAATGTAAAAAGCTCTGATATGTATTATGCATACAAAATCAAACATAAAAAGGCTAATAAAAGAGACAGATAGCCCTTTTCCTACGTGATTTTGTATGTATTATACATTAGAGCCTTTTTAATTTATTTATATGTAAAGAGAGAAAAGGAAGGAGAAAAAGAGATTTTGTGAATGTGAGAGCGTATGTGTAGCAATTTTCCCACTGTATAGCCCGGCTCTCTCTCTCTCTCTCTCTATGTAATGTACACGCACACAAACCAAGATACCGTCGAAAGAGGAAATCCTCTCGATTGTGCACCCCGCATCCCCCGTCTTCCATCGTCCCCGTCTTCGAGGCCAGTTCACAAAGAGGAACTTGTTTCAACGAGCTTACTCGTTACATCCACTCGTCTGCGTACTTACGCCCAATCTAGGCGAGAATACGAGTTCGGAAAGTCGTTCTCTCTCTTGACTTATTACCAACTACCTCCGTCCGGTCGCTTTCTCACTGTTCAAGTTAGTCTTCGGGATCGCTTTCTCATTTTTTTTAGACACGAAGAAAATATCGATAAACAATTGCGACTTTTCGACGAGATTTTATATCAAAATTTTTTTCTTTAATATAGAGACTCTTAAAAACTTGGCGCTTAAATCAACTGTTGTAGAGCAAAAGTAAAACAAGTGCTTTTTTATATAAGCGTCTTATATACTCGTACATCTTATGTGTACCTAGTATATAACCGAGTGAAAATTACAATGGATAACAGAAAAAAACCTTTCGCGGCTGAACAAGGAAATGCGATTTTACAATATTGCCTTTCGAAGATCGATAGCAAAGCGACAATAACGATAAGTGCAATCGGGAAAGGATTCGTCCGCATACCCGGACTTCGATAATAGGTCGCGCTTTAACGCGCCTCGACCAGGCAACTACGAGGTAACTAAGATATTAGTGGTGCTTAATTATCCTATTAATAGTGAATTATGTGCTAGCGCGCGTGTAGCACCCGCTACTCGTGAAATTTTCGCATCTATCTTTAACGCGCATTGCGGATTTTCGCGTCACGATCGATAGTTAGGCGGAAAAAATTGAAGTTTTAATTTTTTATTTACTTGTATCATCGTTTTTTATTGTCATTGCGTCAAAATAATTTGATGCAATTAATATTAATGAAAAATTTCGCGTCGGCGACCGTGCCGCTTTGACATTTTTAACAAATTATGCCGCATAAACGATCAATTTAAAAATTTAATAAGTAGCATAAATCATAAATAATGTTTTGCTAACACACTTCAAATATCTTTAAATATTTATGAGGATTTAACCAGCGCGTCTCTATTTTAAGACATTTCGCGATGTACACTGAAAAAAGCTATTGATTTTGAAATAAATGTGTATTTCAATAGTAGTGCCATTAACACCATTTGTTTGAAACAAATGAATATATTTATCTGTTTTGAAAAATGATATTTTATTTAAAATCAGTATTTTTTCACGACAAATCAATATTATTAGTTTCAAACAAATGCATGGTGTTAAAGGCACTATTGAAATAGATTTATTTGAAATCAATAGCTCTTTGCTTTTTTTTCAGTGTAAATATTATATACATAAATGTCTAGACATAGATGAATCTCTATCTTTCGCTCCATGGCAATAATTAAACTCTGAAATGATACAGGCAAATAAGATGAATCGAAATAGCTCGCTCTGCCTTAATCGATAGTGGTTCTTACCGGTTGTAGCAGCCCTTATGACGATGGGTTCTCCATCCTCCCTTCGCCAGGACACTCTCGGAGGCGGATGTCCTGTCGCACGACAGCTCAAAGTCGCGTTGTCGCCCTCGGCCACTGCCAGGTCGGCACTGGTATCTCCGTAAACGATATCGGGCGGCACTGCGGGGCAAATGTTCGTACCAATAAATACATGATGGTCCGCCTGCCCTCTCTCAGCTTGCGACAGAAATCCTCTCTCTCTCTCTCTCTCTTGTACGAGTACTTTATGAAAGTCATTACGTAAAACCAGCACTTTGTTGGACCGTCTTTGAACGAACGAGTATCTTCAAGGAAATATTTACGGTAAAGGCAAGAGAAAGAAAGGATATAGAGCGCGAGGAGCGAGAATAGGTATACTTAAGCGGAACGTTCGGAACGAGGGAGGTAATTTTACGGTGGGGAAGGATCTTTTGTACGTTGGCATACGCGTTTTCCGGTTGTTCGTTCGTTCGGGTAAACTCAAAGGGCTTTGCATATGGGACGTTCCTCCCTTTCCCCATCTGCGTATCGATTTGCATGTTCTTTAAATAAATGTTTAAATAAACGCTTATGTTATGCATTACTTTTCAACTTTTGTGGCAACATTGTTTTTGATGTCTGTAATAATCGGCATAATTAAATAGAATAACTTTTTTACGAGAAAGTATGTAAAGAAGCTCGGAAGAAAGTGATATATGTATAAGCAATGCGATTATTGTTAGAACCGAGTTTTTTTTTAGAATCAAAAGCTACATCAGATGTGATGTAGCTTCTGAATTCTTAATCGCTCGATTATACAGACATTTCCCATCCTTCCTGTACCATATGTTTATGGCAGATTCTTAAGGTTATTTGAAGACGATTTTTCCTCAGCGAAAATATCGAGGAAGGTTATAATTTTTTTAATGTTCTCAATTTTTGAAATCATGTATCTTTGTAACTAAGCCTTAAATTAAAATTCTATTAAGGTAAACTCTACATGAAATTAATAAAAGATTGTGATTTTGTTAATATTTTATTTCCACATAGCTTAGTTGGCGAAAAACCCCTTATTTTCAAATTATTTATGCCTGGACATTTTCGCTGAGGAAAAATCGTCTCCAAATAGCCTCAAGAATCTCTCAGTTCGGTACGGAAACGCGAGATAGAGAGAGAAAGAGAAATATTGATATCTGTATAATTAAAACCACTTTTTTTACGAGATAGTATGTGAAGAGGCGCGGAAAAAAGTGATATATGTATAAGCAATGCGATTATTGATAGAACCGAGTTTTTTTTTTAGAATTAAAGGCTACATCAGATGTGAAGCGCAGCTTCTGAATTCAGAACCACTCGATTATATATTTTCTGTTATGCTCATTGTTCGTCATATCAGTTTGGTACGGAAACGCGAGAGAGAGATATTGATGTCTGTAATAATTGGCATAATTAAAATCACTTTTTTTACGAGAAAGTATGTGAAGAGGCTCGGAAGAAAGTGATATTGCAATGCACTGCAAAAAAGCTATTGATTTCAAATAAATATCTATTTCAATAGTGCCATTAACACCATTTGTTTGAAACTATAATAATATTGATTTGCCGTGCGAAAAATATTTATTTGATATAAGAAATCCTTTTTCAAAACAGATAAATATTTATTTGTTTCAAACACAAATGGTGTTAATAGTACTATTGAAACACACATTTATTTGAAATCAATAGCTTATTTTTCAGTGTGCGATCATTGTTACAATCATTTTTTTTTTTTTTTTAGAATCAAAAGCTACAACAGATGTGATGTAGCTTCTGAATTCTCAAGCGCTCGATTATATATTCTCCGCAACGCTCATTGTTCGTCATATCAGTTCGGTGCGGAAACGCTCGAGAGATATCAATGAGCTTACCGTGTATGTCGAGACAACCGAGCTCAGATATCATCGGACTGGTGTTGATCTGGCACATGTAACAACCTCTGTCAGTCTCTTTCAATTGACGAATGTGTAGACGCCACGTGCCGTTGACGACTTCCTCCGTGGCTTGGCTGCTTCCCGTTACTCCAAAAGTACCGCCGGACGTTCCGCCGGACCCGGAACTTCCGCCGCTCTCGTAGGAGACCGAGATACGCGCATTATGCGTCACGATCCGGGTGTGGATCGAGAGGATTGTCTGGTCCGAGTTACGTAGCCATCCAACCTAGAAAGTCCGACAACGCAACGCGAATTTATGCAGCTGTCGCTTCCTCGACTAGTATTGATCGAATGACATTTTTTTTATTATATTTTCTAAGGAGCACGTCATTTCTTTTCTGAAAATTATACCGAAACAATATAGTCGCGGAAAAAATATTAAGTAGTCATATAATAATTATCATGGGCTGTCGTTTAATTCCTCGATTAGTATTGATCGAATGACATTTTTTTTTATTATATTTTCTAAGAAGCACGTCATTTCTTTTCTGAAAATTATACCGAAACAAAGGTGATATAGTCGCGGAAAATAATGGGTAAAGTAGTTATATAATAATTATCATGGACATCCGCAGAGGAGGCAAGGGGGATATTTGCTCCTCTTGAAATCAGTAACAAAATTAAGCATTTGCTCTGCTCGTAAATAAACACTGTAATTTATTTGCAATTTTATTTAATATAAAAACATTAAAATAACAAAATAATAAAAAAATTAAAAATTAAAAAAGAATAAGAATAAGAAACAAAAAAAAAATTTAATCATGCCCTTTTGTGAACAAAATCCTGCGGATGTTCATTATAATTATATATAAATTATATAAAATTATATAAATTACATAAAATTATACATATAAAATTGTATAATTATATACAATTATATAAAATATACAATTATAAAATATATTATACAAAATAAAATTAAAATATATATTATATTATAAATATATTATAAATAAAACATATTATAAATATATTAAAATATATTATACAATTATATAAAAATATATACCTAAATTAAGCTAAGAGTAACATATGCGGGAAAGAAAAAAAATAAAATAAATGAGAAGGAAGCTCTATGAACGATCTTGCTAGAATAAGGAAAACTATTTTTTCTTCCTGATTTCGGGGTTTGAAATTAATTTCGTCAACAGACGCAATCTAACCACGATTTGTTTCACTTCTGTTGACTTTTATTTCGTTTTATTTCTGATGGGGAAGAGTGACGCGATATGAAGATTAAGCGCGCGTGCGGAGGAACAAAAAGAGAGACTACTTTTATGGCGAATTTTTCACTCGTGGCAATTCAATTTTGCCACGTAGCACGTCTCTAGCGTACGGCTACGTGACCTTACGTTTGCGATATCAGGATAGTCGACATTTGTTACGTTGCGTTTTGTCACATCGTTGTACCTTTCCCGCGCCGCGACAGAAATCTGAGCGATTTCGTCGAAAGCTTACACGGAGCGTTACGCGTTTTAATTCGAGTTCGACATTCGACAGAATCCATCCGTAAACCATGATGGGAGGGATTTTTAGTGCCACGCAAAAAAAAAAAAAAAAAAAAGAGTTAAACGATCGTAAAAACGACTATTCGATTATTCGAGATGCGATGACGCGGATAAAATCCCATTACATGGAAAATAAAATGCGCATTTTAATCCGCGTGATTCGTCCCTATTTTACGCATATTTTATCATTATTTTTCATGTTGTTACCTTGTATTTGCGAATGCTGATGTTGCGTACGCTGCAGGAAAAGACGACTTCGCGGCCAATCGCGGCAGTCTGATTCCCAACTGGTGCTACGAAAATCGGGCCCGTGGCAGTGTTCGTTGAATCTGAAACATTTAATTTTGACGGGAATAACATTCAGATGTCATCGTTTTTTTATTTAAAACGGCGGGAGATCATAGGGAGAATCTGGGTCGCGTTGTCGTCGTCGCGGTTGAATCCTTCGTTAAGTTACCATTCAAAAGATTATTTGCATATTTCTAAATATATATTTCTATTCGTACACCGCGATTGCGTAACGATAGCGCTCGAAATCAAGGCACAATAATGAGTAATAATAATTTAATGCCGCATTACCGTTTATTATTCTTTTTAGCCCGTTTATACCGACGGGGGAGAGATTAATGGAAAAATATTGGAAGGCGGAAATTTCATCGTCACTCCCATTCATTACAATGACAGTGAAATTTCCTTTGAAAATATATCCACGGGCCGTGTGCCTCCGGGACGGTAATAAGTGCATGTCGCAAAGTTTCTTAAGCACTATCAAGGGTAGCTAATTATCGCATGCTTATTCACGCCTGTTGGTGGATTACGACGTCCCTAAACAGATAATGTCAAGTGGTTCAAAGTTGCGCGGGATAAACTTGGTCGAAGCGTCAACCAACTTCAGGAATGACTTCGTACGTGAGATTCTCGTTCAAGAGACACAGCGAGAGATATATAACGCGTTGCGATATATATCTTTTTATTTTACACGCTACGCGACACGTATACGAATATTGGATAAATAAGCACGGCCTTTGTGCAGCGAGAAAGAATAGATATCTATCTTTTAAAATATTACTGTCGTGCTTTACCGTTTGCCGTCTAACATTCGCGCTTTGTCGCGCTCTAATGCGCGAAATATAGCTCGCGCGGAAATATAATATTTAAAAAGGGAGAGAAAAGAGGCGGAAGCAGCCCCCGGTGTGTAACATTTAAATTTAGATCGCCGCGATCGCGTTTATTCCGCATGTTCACTCTTGTCCCGACTCTTGTTTCGTTTCCTCCGTCGACCTAGCAAAATAAGCTACATCCGACAATATCCAAATTGCCCTTCTATGAATTTAACGTTTCTAAGATGACATCGCGGGACAAATCGCCGGGGAAATGAAACGAGCTGCCAGATTAGACAGCAGCTACAGTATCCCCGACGTTGTAAAAAGAAGAAGAAAGGAAAGAGAGCCGCTTCACACCGGTGTAGAAACTCACACTCTTTTGTACCGAGTGAACGACCCAAATTCTCGGCGAAAGACATGGAAAGATAGATGAGTCGAGAAAGAATGTAGCGAAAGGGAGGAAAAACTCCAAGTTTCTTATTGTTCACATTATTCTAAAATATTCTGCCTCATAAGCCCTCTCGACCCGTATTTAATTTCAGTTATTGTATATAGAAATTTTTGTATATTTTACTCGAAAAATATATAATTTCCTGTAAAAGGAATATATTATAACAAGAGAGTTTAAAAAAATATTATATTATATATAACGGAATAACGTGAAAAAATAACTAGATAAAAAATATACAAAAAAAGAGAAAAATCTGTATAGAAATAAAAAATAGGAAAGATTTCATTCCCAGGGAGGAATAACCATATATACACCAGCAAAGTAAATTAATTAGTTAAGTTAATAAACGTGTTTGCGGCTAATATTTAATTAAATGTGTCGCCAAACATTCTTGACAGTATAGCTAATGAGTATCATTTCCACATTTATGTTTCAGTTTCGTTCTTCAAAACGGGGACGTATTTCGCCGTTGTGGAGTTTGGAAATTAAAGCGTATGTACCCTGGTCTACCCAAAACATCGACGGTATTTAAGGTAGGATAATTTACCTGTCACTTTGTTTTCTCTTCTGTGCGATTTTGCGATACGATTCGCAGAGAATGGAAATAAAATTCTTGTTGAGTTTGTAGCAAATTTCTGGTGCGTGTATATTTCGCGAAAAGTATTCGCGAAACAAAGCACATTTATCACGCATTTATGTCACACATCTAATTTAAGGTGAGATAATTTACTTGTCACTTTTTTTCTCTTCTGCGCGATTTTGCGATACGACTCGCAGAGAATGGGAATAAAATTCTTGATGCGTTTGGAGCAAATTTCTGGTGCGTGTATATTTCGCGAAAAGTATTCGCGAAACAAAGCACATTTATCACGCATCTATGTCACACATCTATATCGACGGTATTTAAGGTAGGATAATTTACTTGTCACTTTTTTTCTCTTCTATGCGATTTTGCGATACGATTTGCAGAGAATAGGAATAAAATTCTTGATGCGTTTGGAGCAAATTTCTGGTGCGTGTATATTTCGCGAAAAGTATTCGCGAAACAAAGCACATTTATCACGCATCTCTATCACGTTAATAATGATAACATCATTTTGAGAGAGACACATTTGTGTTCGCGCGTGAAAATACATTGTGACTGGAATAATAACGCACTCCCGTTATATATACATATATCTGTATAATACTATGCTTTCCGTTAGCACCGATAACCGAGAGAAAATAATCAATCATTCTCGACATTCTGCAATTTTCTCGCCTTCCCTTCCCCGTCTCTCTTTCTCTCTCTCTCTCTCTTGTCTTCTTTTCTCCTACATCATTTCTTATCTCGAGTATTTCAAAGTAAAGTCAAGGAATCAATACGGTCGTCGAGTACACCGCGCGCAATCATTTTCTCACCTCAAACGGATACCGACAGGCGCGTTCGAAATCAAATTCCAAGCACACAACGTGTACTTCGATATAAATATATATATATATATATTGATACGAGAGAGAGAGAGAGAGAGAAGGATGACGAAGTTATCATATATATGTTGCGTCTGTGTACGGAGTATATATGTATATATACGATTCTCGATGCGTTTACTTTCTTTACTGCGGCGCGATGGCCAGTTTCCGGTACGTAGCGAGGGAGGAAATCGTCTTTCGGCAATTCCTTTTTTCCCCCGATCTCGATCGATTTGTACGCAAAGCGCGGCGGCAGCAGCACTATGTATGTATTTTCACGGAAATCACCAAGTTATATAAACTCGGAATGTTACTCGCGCGTTTGAAAAACAAGTATTGCACATGCAAATGCAAAATTCCATCTCGATTTGTCGAAATTCGCGTTTCTTCGATGCTTTCGAATATAAAACTGTATAGTGTCAGCGAAATTAATAATCCAATCAATCGTGAAATTTGTCACTTTTACATTTGCTTAAAATTTAGAGAAAAAAAAATATATATATATATATATATATATATATAATTTTAGAAGAGAATGGACACATTTGGATATTTAAACGCGCACGAAACGAATAGGATATTGTGAAATTGCAAACACCATACTGCTTATTATATAAATCGCTAGGAAAGATATACGATTCACAACTCGTGTAACATGCAATGAAAGTTATTATTAAACGTCGCACAGTGATTTCCGAGCTAATGAGGAATGCAAGAAGTATAAATCTCTCGCGTGTTTCGGTATATATACAATATACATACATATATATGTGCATGTTCAAGTACGCATATAAACTTCTCGTGAAACTTCAGACATCTCAGGAATATTCCAATCTCTGAATATACCGCGAAGGCAGACGGCTCTAAATATGAAATTCTCTTAAGCGGAACGGGCACGCGAGGGGAATTCTTCCCCAGCTGAGGGTATATATATATATATATATATATATATATACATGTAGCAAATTTTTACTTTCGCTCGTACGTTACGGCATGTATATATGATGGTCCATTGTGGATGATAGGGGATGATTCTACATGAAAAGAGATGAGTCGAAAATGTGAAATGAGATTTTTTTGTTCAGGAAACTTGAATTCACTAATAATCTCACTTTTTATGAGACGCTGGTCCCTTCTTATATATTAATACAGGGTGTCTGGCTGTTCTTCAAATTCCTCAAGTCTTTGAAATGTTCTGGAATTTTGTTCATTTTTTCAAAATCCTGCGAAAATGTACTTTTAAATTTTTCGTAGATCCTTGATTTTTTCGTTGCTTCTAAACATCCAGCTAAAATATTTCACCTTACTTTGTAAATAATACGATATATTTTTTATTTAGGAGTTCAAAAATATGTGTCACGCATAAGTTATTTATATATTTTAAGCGTTCAATTATAAAAAAATATTGTATTGAATATTTGTAATGGATATTTTAATTTTCATTAATATGCAATTATATCGACTTGATAAAGAAAATAAATTTTTCAGTTTCTTTATTATACTATTGGAAAATCGTGAAAAATTTCCTTGAAATATCCTGGGAATGTCCTTAAATTTTATTTTCAAATACTAGACACCCTGTAATAAACGTGCGCGAATAAAAATAATAATTAATAGTTGAGGGAGGGCGGATGAATAAACTAATAATTTTAATTAAAAGAGAAGGCTCGAAGCATTAAAAAATCAAAGTTAGCAAGAAGGACAGACGAGTCGTAGCAGGATGTTCGTGCTAATAAAATCTATTAATAGATTTCGCTTTAATAGATTTTGTTGATTAGCACGAACATCCTGCTACGGCTCGTCTGCTCTTGATAATTTTAATAATTCTAAATTGAATACTTAAAACGTCGCTAGTGGTATTTAAAATAGGAACGATATATTTAATTCGACCCAAACTAGCCAAGAAAATTTTTATTTTATTTCCACTAAATAAAAATAAAATAAAAATTTTCTTGGCTAGTTTGGGTCGAATTAAATATATCGTTCTTATTTTTAATAATTTTAATTTTAAAAAATTAGCTGTCAAACTCTCTCTCTCTCTCTCTCTCTCTCTCGCTCTCTCTGTCGCAATTTGTGCGCTTCGGAACATGTTAATGTCAACATGTACATGCATCTACTAAACAGGGACGCGAGTCACTTTGCGAATTATCGGTACGATCGCTTTAGCGTCGTGTAACTAGTAGTTTAACAGTGGCATGTCCGTGAACGATGGATAACCAACAATTGATAGTCATACTCCTCCTAGTTTCTGAACAACGATATATCGATATACAGATATAAGCAGGATTGGAGCGGATAACGCGCGCGCGTGCACGTATAGTTTGATAGAACTTGGATGGAACTTCCGATTATTATGCCAATTCCCAAGCAACTCGCTCTTCGACTACTCCGCTCGGAGATTAGATTTATCTCTCCGAAGGATATAATCTCCGGCGTGTTTCTCCGCTAATAAAAAGACGTTTCGCGGCGGATTGCGCGATGCTCTAAGCTTTTTCATATCGGTTCGTTGGAAAACGAGCAATTCCTTCTTGGAAGAAGAGAATCTTACGCCGTTTGCGTAAATCCAACTGCAACTTCAACGGAAAGTATTACGGGAGAGAGCATTACCGGATGTCATTTGAAATTCCGAGTTTTCGAAAACAAACGAAATCTTTCCGCGCGATATGCAAATGCGAGAGCAAGCAGCGGGATGATGAGATCCATGCGAATTGACCTGACAGGAAAATTTCGAGATAATCGCGCATTTCCTCCCCCCCGCCTCTCCCTTGTGTAACAACCTGTGTCAGAACGTCAACAACGGCTCGGCATCTGGAACATCAGTTCGATATGCCATGTATATGGCATCATATGTACACGCGTCGAGTAGCTTGGCCGCAACAGGTTCTCTCTCCTCGACGTGTTCCAAGTTTCCCTCCGGTTTTCCTTCCGTAGGGGATGTGCAGTCCCCGTTATAAAACGGCCGCGAAATCGAATAATTAAATCCTCGTCGTGTAAACGATCGATCGAATATCAGTTTTCGCAAATCGAATGTAACAAGATATAATCCCTTACTGCGTCGATACCATCACGATAACACGTTACGCGAGTTTATATTCCATAGGTGTATCTAGGGTTGGCAGATACTTCGAAACCAAATATTTCAATACAAGATACAAGGTACTGTTTGACATAAATATATACTATTGAAATATTTTGGTTTTCAAATATATTTCAATACTAATTGTATTTAAATATATATTTATAAATACTTTTAAAGACAATTATTTTTTTAATTTTTGATTATATACTGTATATTTAATATTAAAGTATAATTACAAAAAGATTATCTACTATTATTTAAAAAATAAAATTTTTGAAATAATAATAATAGTAGATGATTTTATTGTAATTATACTTTAATATTAAGTATAATATAGTCTGATGGTAGATCAAGCTATATATATATGTAATTACATAAATACATTTAAATACAAGATACATTTAAATTAAATAATTAATTACAAAATTCAAAATACTTGATTATTCGATATTTAAATACTGCATTTAAATAAGATATATATTTAAATACATATCTCAGATACTTTAAGAAATCTGCCAATCCTGAGTATATCATATATCGGAAAAATCGAAAGTGCGAACCCTAAAAACATTTTCATGCAAAAACTTCGTTCATCGGATAAATCAATTTCGGATAATTAATATGATGTAATCTTTTATCGTTTTTAAACTTGAATAATTTCAAATCACTTTGCGATTCTAATTATTTTTTATTACAGTAATTATTAAAGAACAAAACAAAAAGTTCAACGTTCTATTTTAAAAAGTAATGTAAATGAAATGAAGCTATATATATAAAAGAGGGATATTTAAAAATATCTAAATGTTTATAATCTCTTAAATAGAATGTCATACCTTTATTCTGATAGAAAGCCACTCACCATATTTAGGAACAAATTCACCAATTAATGTATAAAAGTTAATTCAACTGGCAATTTAAGATAAAAACAGATCTTATTAACCTTTTAATTTTTACAATTAAGTATAAAGTTTTAAATAAGAGAAAAATTCATTTAAAATTTTT